GCATGGTGGCAGGGCTGGGACTGAGGAGAAGCGCTTACCCCATCACTTCCAGGAAGCAGAAAGGGAAGGGAGGAGTGGGGAGGGAGGTGACTCCTCCTCCACCCAGCCGCTGCCCTGCAGGAATGGGGTTTGAAACTCTTCGTGGAGGAATCCACTGATGAACGCAGCACACAAGATCCAGTTGCCGTCTGAAAGGCCAAAGCTCCCCTATGAATGCATGAGGCTTTGGAGGCCGTTCCAGAGCTAAGCTACAGCAGGAGGTGCAAGCTGTCCTGCTTGTGGGAGCTGTCCCCAGAGTCCTGTCCAGCAGCCAGAGTGCAGTGTGGGGCCCACGCCGCTGCCTCCTTAGTCTGCACAGAAGGGCTACACTGTCTGCTGTCAATGAACGATGTCGCAGAGCTGGGCCTTCATGCTCTGCCACCTCAGACTAAAGCAGTCAAGGCACAAATTTAAAATAAGTGAAACCACGGAAGATGCTGAGGAAAAGCTGACAGATTCTCTAACGTCAGAGTGACTTCCCAATTGGCAGATGTGAGCAGTGCTGATCCCAGTGAAGGGACCCAGGGCAGACTGAATCTCCTAAGGGAGATGCCAGTGGGCACAGCACTGAGATGCTGTGTGGCAACTGTCATGGTGTAGCAACAGTGGCTAGGCTGCAAGGGACCGGGATGGCAAGGGGCGCCACTAAGGGAACACACTGTGCAGGGCACAGTCCTGATGGGGACCCCAGAGCATCTCTAGATAGTATCTGCTGTGCTGCCTTTTGGGGGTAAAAATGGGAGTGACATTTGCTTGCCTTTGCAAAAAGAGGGTACACAGGAAATTGCTGACATGGCCTCCTGAGAGTGTGGTATAAGGTGGGGGGCAGTGTGGGTGGGCGGGGAGTGTGGACTGTAGCAGAGCTGTCCATGCCTGTCCTCTCTCTTCTGTGAAGATCAGGGGAAGAGCCTCGAGCGTGAAAGGCATATGCTGTACCCCCGAGCCAGGTTCCAGCTCCCAGCATCTGTCTGCCAATGACAGAGAACAAAGACTGAAACATAATTCTTAGCGGGGGAAGAAATTTAAAACACCAGAATTGGCCACTCTTATGACAAGTCTTGGCAAGTGCAGGAAAATGGAGCAAGACATGGGATAAAGGAAGATGTTGTAAAATACAGCCTAATTCACTGAGTTGGTAGTCAGTGATTGGTACTGGAGCTGGGAAGCTGGAAGGTCACCTTGGTCCTTATCTCCCAGCCACCAACTTCCTTGCCTATACACAACCCACAGGAACTTCTGTGACAGCTGCCGGGAAATATTGTATACACATGTAAATGTATGGACCATGCTAGATTCCCCTATTTTTACATTGAGAAAAGAACGAAGGATCAATTTCTTCATCACTGTATACCTTCGCTTCAGAATTTCTCTTGGAAATCATCTCACAGCTTCTGCAAATACAGAGACCGTTCATTTTTATGACAGCACTGTGGCCCAGACTCAGGCTTTTCCTGAGTGTGCTGCACAGTGTTCCATCGAGTGGACCTCAGTCTCTTGCATTCATCTGCAGGACAGACTCCTGGGACTGTGGGGTCCAAGCGTTCATGCCCAGGCAGTGTGGACAGAGATGGGAGAATGGACCTCCAAGTTGGATGTGTGCCCACAGCGCCCAGAGATGCCTTCAGCCCACAGCCTCACCAAGAACGTGTCCTTCAGTGTTAGTGCCTTGTCCCCCAAACTGATGTGAATAGGGCTTGGAGAGGTGACTGGGTCATGGATGCAGTCACGAGGGAGGAGCCCCAGGATGGGCCTGGTGTTGTGTCAGTAGGAGGATGGACAAGCACAGTCTGTGCTCAGGGGTTGTGAGGTACTGGCTCCCGACCTTGGCCTTTCTGTTCTGAGTGTTTTATAAAAGCAGAGAAACTGACTAGGATGCAACATTTCTATCTTGTCAATCTGATGCAAAATGGCACCTTTGTGCATTTTTCCTCTCTAAATATTTTAATATGGAAGATTTCTCTCTCTCTCTTTTTTTTTTTTTTTTTTTTGTACCAGGGATTGAAGTCATGACTGCGCGCTTGCAAGGCAGGTACTTATGCTGCTGAGCTAAATCCCCAGCCCAGTATGGAAGATTTCAAACAATAAGAAACCAATTGTAAGTCCACCAGCTCCCTGCTGCTGTCATAGCCCCAAGAGGGGTCCAAGCCCTGTCCTGGCCATCCCTTGCCTGCAGTGGAAGTGGGGTGGAAGTGACATGTGTGGTAAGTGAGGCTCTGCCACTGAGCTACACCCCAGCCCTCAAGTCATTTTTTTTTCTTTTTTTCTTTTTATCGGTACCAGGGATCGAACTCACGACTGCCTGCTTGCAAGGCAGGCACTTTATGCCGCTGAGCTAAATCCCCAGCCCCCCCCCCCAAGTCATTTTTAACAGGAACATTTCTATCCAGAATGTGTCATCATCATCCAGGGTTCGTCCACACACAGCAGCCTCTCCTGCAGGCGACAGGTCTCCTTCCACTGTTTCATGCTCGCTGTTCATGATGAGGGAGGCAGACACTGTCCTTGGTCTGGGAGGTGGAGCTGGGCTCCGGTGTGCTTGGGTAGGGAGAGATCGGCAGACTCTGGGCAAGGAGGGTAGGAGGGAAGAAAGGTGGGGAGGGGCAGGCGGGAAAGGTGCAGGCCAGCAAGTCCACAGCTGTGCTGGGGCAGAGGGTTGGTGCTGGGAGTCAGGATGCTCAAACCTCAGGTTCCAGAGGACGGGAAATGAGGGGGCTGAACCACAGTCAGGAGCGGGGGAGCTGAGACACATGGAAGTTGGAGGAGGGGCACCTACCAGGGACCCGCAGAGAGGCAGCCAGGGTGGAGGACCCCAAAGACACCGATCTCCAGAGGGTGGCAGTGCGGGGCTGGGATGTCCCCACCTGCTGGGCACAGGTGGACCCTGCAGGGAAGTGGAGCCTCTGGGGACCAGCTGGAGGCAATGGTGTGAAGCCAGCCCAGGAGGAGGGAGTACCAGGACCTTGTCTGCCTGAGTTTCGGGCTGGGCCTATGATGGGGATGGTGAGGGCAGAAGTGGGGAAGATGGTGCAGTGTAGGCACTGGCGGCATGGGAGAAGATAGATGGTGGTAGACATGATGGTGGCTGACGACCATAACTGAAATGCAAAGCATGGGCATTTGGTGCAGAGAAGGTGGGACTAGGGTGGGGAGAGAGTCTCTAAGGGACAGCCAGAGTAGAGGGCTAAACAGGCTTGGTGCGCACCCTCTTGACAATGGTGGGTCATACCCACACCCTGTGTGTGTCCTACACTCTCTGGCATGTCCTCAGAAGCAGCCTGTGCTGGGAAAGGATTCCCCCTATTTATGAATATTGGGAAGGTTTGAGACCAGCGCATATTGCAGTGGGCAGCTCAGTGGTCCCCAAGGCTAAGGGCTGAGGAGATGGGGAAGGGTGGGCAGTTCCCAGCTTGTACCACTTCACATCTGGCAGCCTTCCCCAGGTGTATCTTACACTGCACCTGGGCTGCACACCTACCCACACCTGCTCACAGTGTCCTTGCAGGGGACAGCTGGCCTGCACCTGTCTCTGTATGGTCTGCCTGGAAGTCCTGAGAGGGTACCTGGGAGCCTCCAGGACACCTCTGCACACTTTCTGAGTTCTTGCTGCCCTGCTGACCCCCCTGTCCTAGCAGAGGCCCCAAGCCTCTGACCATATTGCAGCCAAGTGCCCAGTACCACAGGCACAGCTGTGTCTTAACCTTCCCAAAGGAAGTTGAATTCTGGGACTAAGGTCACTTCCAAGCCCATACTGGTCACCTCTAGGGTGTGTCAGTTTATCACTCAGCCAGTAGGTCAAGGCTGGGTGCCCTCCTGGGTGTCAGGGGTCCATGATGCCCAGCAATGGAGCTGGCCAGCTTCACCTCGGCAGAGCAGTGCCAGGCTGGGGAGGATGCAGGCCTAGGAAGCCCCTCCCCAGGCTGCCATTCAGCAGCTGCCACCTCCTCCTCCTAGCTAGCAGGCCCAGGCTGAGCCATGTGCTCAACAGGGAAAAAGAGAGGTTCCCTGTAGGACATGGTAGGGGTCCAGATGGGGAGTGGCTGGGGACAAGGATTTGCATCTGGACCCAAGCCTGGGAAGGCCACAGGAAGTGGCCCAAGACTGGCCCATTCCCCACCCAGCCTGATCCCTGGGGACATTTTGGCAGGCATAGCCTTGCTTGCCCTGAGCCTAGTCCAGCCACTGGGGCTCTCTTGAGTTGACAGGAGGCTCTAGCCTGGGAAGGACCATTCCCTCCCAGCTGCCCAGGAAGGGAGGGAAGCCCAGGGACACAGCTAGGGATACCTTGCCCCTATTTACATGTCAGGCAGCATGGTAGTGGGGTAGGGAAGCCAGCCAGCTCACCTCACCCCAAGGGGCCAAGTCTGCAAAGCCACCCACTCAGGAGGGCCTGGACAGTGTTGAGCACAAGAAGCTTACAGGAATCTGGATCCTCCATGAGGGAGGCAGGTGGGAGGGGTGGAGGGAGGAGATGCCAATCATGAAGTCAGGAGGACTCACCTCCTCCAGCCTACTGTCCTAGCCTGCACCTAGCTCTTCCTCACAGGGCCTGCCCTTCTTGGCTCCTTTCTCCAACCTCCAACAGAGAGAGGGTGTGCTGGTCACCTGCCTTGCCACACTGCTCCTGTGCCCTGCAGGAGCACGTGTGGCATCTGGCACAGCTCCCAGAATGCCCACCCCTGCTGGCCCTCCGTCCTAGCCAGTGGTGTCCACCCCTTGTGCCCTGCCAACCCCAGGGATGACCTAACATTTCAACCTGGGCAGCCTTTATTATACTAGCATCGTGATGAGCCTGGTGTGGGAACACAGGACGTAGCACTCATCTCCACAGCCAGCCAGGCCCAGGCAGCACCCGGGGAGGAGCATCTGTCTCCCAGGGTCACTCTCCAGTTGCCCCAGCAGGCAGGCTCCTTCCACAGCTCATTCCACACATCTCTTTCCCAAAGCAGTATCTTAGATACATATGCATGTGTATGTGTGCATATTTTATCTGAACCATCAGCTATAAAATTGAAACTGATCGTTCTCTTCACATTCACGTCACAGTAACTGCGCACAAAGACAACAAACCTAATGTTGATTACTCAGGGCGGGCGCCCCTGCCACAGGAAAGCGCTCAGGGAGGCCAGCGACACAGCCTGCATCCCTGTTAGTGGCAGCTGCTCTCCTGCTGGCTGCGGGCTCCATCAGCCCTGCTGGGTGCCGAACATACATGCAAACCTAGAGCACAGAACTTGTGTTGGGCCCTGTGCGGTGGGCTCAGGAGCCAGGACTGCCAGAAGGAAGTGTCCCCTCACCTCAGTTCTCCAGGACTACAGTGGTTGGGGTTCTAGGTTAGCTGCACAGACACCAGGAGAGCACAGGCACCACAAGAAAGTGGACTGTGGTCTGTCCCCTCACTGATAAGGTCATTCCATTCTGAGTCCAACAGACAAATGAATACAACATCAAGTGTTAAAAGCAGACGATGATTGAGACTCAGCCAGACTTTGTCCCAGTGCCTTATCCAACCACAGCAGAAACAGCAGGTGTCCGGGCAGCTCTGCTACTTGCTGTGCCCCTACAGGTCAGGGCACCCTCACTCCACCTAACCCATGCTTACAACTGTTAAGGTCCCAGTGGCATGACTGATGATGAGGGTGGCCCAAGGGACTCCAAATGCAGCAGGCATGTCCATTCTGACGCCAGTGGTTGTGAACTAAATGGGCTGCTGTGGCTCCGGTCTAGGGGATGCCAGGTTCCCTCCCCATGTGACGGTAGTGCCCACCCCTGCCCCACGGGACAGGGGAATCCCTGAAGACATCACTCCTGGTAACCCCATGCTCCTGCTGCAAAAATGCCTGAGGCCCCCGAGACCTCCCACAGGCAGGAGAGACCCTGGGGTCAACTCCCTGGCCTGGCACTTGGCCCACTGCCAACAGGCAGTCACTTGGAGGCCTCAGAAAGCATTTTGCTGGATCCAAAGATAATTCATTTCCAAATTCCCAGTTTCTACGCCCAGAGTTACAGTGAGGGGAGAGTCACAAGCTCTTGAAGTCCCACCCCAGGGACACTGACTCTCTTGTTGCCTCGGGGTCCCCACCAGGGATGCAGCTCATGATACCAGCTGTGCGCTGGTGGCTTCAGCAGGCATTTGTGATGCCCAGGTCTTTCCAGCAGGGCCTCCTGCTGCCACCCACCAGGCGGCCTGTTTCTTCCAGGTGCCCTGCCAATGACTTCAGACATGTGAGCCACTGCCTACAAGGAACCAGGCTCAAGAGGCACCCTGCGCAGTGGTCAGAAAGTCCCTGGACACAGGACATTTGTGTCACCCACACTGAGAAATCCAAGCCCAAGTTCTGTCCCAGAACCTGGCTGGGAGATGGGGAACAGCACCTTTCTATACCAGGTGGACCCCTGAGGCCCATGTCTCCAAACTTGGTTACCTCCATCCCTGGTCCCACCCAGCCTAAGGGTCTGTCACCCTAGCAGGGACTTGACGGCGCTGCAGTGGAACTTGCGCACGTGGCGGTACAGGTCCCCCGACTGTGTGAAGCGACGCTCACACCAGCGGCAGGCATGTGGCTTCTCCCGAGTGTGCACCACAGCGTGCCGGCTCAGGTTGTGCGAGTACTGGAAGCTCTTGCCGCACTGCAGGCATGTGTAGGGCTTCTCCCCCGAGTGTGTCCGCTCGTGCCGCTTTAGCGTGTAGGTGCAAGAGAAGGTCTTGCTGCAGAGCGGGCAGGTGGGCACGGCGCTGTCTGGTGAGAGCCTGGCCCGGGTGCGGTCCCGCTCGTGGAAGTGAGCGCTGAGGTGCTGCTGCAGAGCGTGGGTGCTGGGGAACAGCTTGCAGCACAGTGGGCAGATGCAGAGGCGCTCTCGGTGATCCAGCTCCTCGGAGTTGCCCCCCACCAGCTTAGAACCCAGCTCCAGCTTCTGGCGGGCCGCCCCGCGGCAGGGCAGCAGCTCCAAGTCCAGGGGCAGGGGCAGGCGCTGGGCTGTAGGGGCACAGGGCGGCTGCAGGGTGCTGCGGGGGTTCTCCTTCGGTTCCCAGGGCAAGACCTGCTCATCCTTTACCAGAGGCCGAGCGCCTGGCTGCCTCCTGCTGCTGAAGAAGGGTGTCTGGACCGGCTCCGACCTCGGGCTGGGCTTCAGCGACAGGTCCAGGGCTCGGTCCGACTCTCGTGGGGCCTGCCGAGGGGCAGACCTGGATGTTGGCAGACAGAGCACAGTCTTGATTCCCGCTGCGGGGATCTTCGCTGTCTGAGTAGCATTGCAGAGGTCCGGAGTCCACGCTGGCAGGGGGCACGGTGACTGGGCCCACGGCTTGGCCCCTGGAGCAGGGGCCCCCAGGGGCCGCGCCGGGTCCTTCTCCCGGAGCCTGCCCTTGCAGACCTTGACGATGTCATACATGTGCAGGTAGCTGGCGGCAGCCAGAATGTCCTCGACGGGCAAGCTGCACAGGTCCAGGCGGCCCTCGTACATGAAGTCCAGAAGACGTCCGAAGGCAGGCGCCGTAACGATGTCGCCGTTGAGCCGCACCGTGTCGCGGCCGCTGGCGGGCCGGTCCCGGTAGAAGAGGTGGAAGTAGACACTGCACGCCGCCAGCACGGCGCGGTGCGCGGGGAAGCGCGCGTCGCCCACCAGCACGGTGCAGTCGCACAAGAAGCCGAGTTCTCGTTGCTGCCTCAGGCGGCCCAGCAGGCGCCGGCCGTGCCCCGGGACCTCCATGCCGCCGCCGTCATCCCCGCGCGCGACGAGCCGAGCCGCCGGGCACCTGCCGCGAGCCGGAAAAACTCGCCCGAAAGTAAACAGCGGCGCGCCACCGCGGGAGCCAGCGCCCCCTGCCACCCCGAACTCCTCTCCACCCGCCTGCCCAAGCGCCCCTCGACGCCGCCCCGCGCCGGACGCCGCGCGGCCCCCCTTTATGGCAACGAAGCGCGGGGCGCGGCGGGCGGAGCCGGACCCCGCTCCCCGCGCCTCCCGCAACCCCTGCCGGCCCCGCCCCGCCGCTCGCCCCGCCCCGCCCCGGCCCGGGAGGGAGGCAGCGCCATCCGGGCGCAGGCTGAAGGAGGCGGGCCGAGGGACTTCCCGGTGCGGCAGAGCCGCTGAGGTCACCGCGTCACCCTTCCCCGGTTCGTCCTGTCCGGCTTGCCCCGCGCGCAACCGGCAGGGGCGCTGCGGGAGGAGGGGTTGCGGGGCGCGGCGGGGCAGGGCTCTCGCGATACTTGCCGGCCGGCCCCCCGCCTCGCCCTCGGGCCCCCACCACACTGGAGTGCAGAGGTCGCCGTCGAAGTGCCCGCCCAGGGGTGGTCGGCGGACTCGGTCCCGGGACCCCTGGAGAGGCCGGATCTGGAGAGGGAGAGGGCTGTGGGAGGGGCTTCGTACGCCTTAAGAAAAGACACTGCCTTCTTGGATGCTGCTCCTTATCCACGCCAGACAGTGGAGTCTCGATCCGGAAGTCTAGCATAGGCAATCCCCACCTTCCTTGACCCTGGACTGAGTCGGGGTAGGGGCGCTAAGCTGGGTGACCCGGAGCACAGGTCGAGCCCCTCCGGACAGACGAGGTGTCTGGGGGAACACATGGCACAGCGGAGGGACAGAGGTGGGCGGGGGACCGCGACCCAAATGGGGACACGGAGAAGGCCAGGTATCCAGGTGGGAAAGGATTCGAAGAGACGCGGATTCTTCCCGTGAGCGGCTGAGGGATGGGGTTGGAGAGCCCCGGCGCCTTCTCCCTGGGCGCAGCCTGGGGGCGCTGTCCGAGGCCGTGCGGAGTCACAGTTTAGTCCCGTTAATTAGCTGCTCTTGTTTTTATCCTCTTTGGGGGAAGGAGGGGTGACATGCTCAAAGCCATACTACAGGTGTCAAATTGCTGAGCCAGGGTCCCACTCCCACCAGCCTCATTTGGAATTACCGACTCACATTGCTGGGGAGCCCAAGCATGCAGGACATGCCGAAAGGGGGCACTGCCCAGGCTGGGGGTGGCTGGGGGTGGGAAAGGATCCTTCATATGAGTGTGTGGGTGCTGGATGGGAGCGGATCACAAAGGACAGTCAGTGGGGATTAGGGAGCCCCCAGCTTTGATCGCTGGACTGGGAGAGGAGTACCTGGCTGAGCGATAGGGATCCCCAGGGCAGCTCAGGAGGGTCCCCAGTGGACCTTTCATACCTGGGGGGGGGGGCTGCCCAAGATCCTGAAGCCCACATCTAAAGTTCCTGGAAAGGAAAGCTCCCCTCTTATATTAAAACATTCTGGGTTTACCTGAAAGGCAAATTTGACTGGGCACCTGCATTTTTATTTCCTAAATCTGACAATGCAATGGGGACTCCTGGAACAGACCAGACATGCAGCCCTCGGGCGAGCAGATCCTGACTCCCACAAGAGGACCCTTCCTTTGTTTTTTAATTTTGTCTATTTTTTATTTAGGACCCTTCCTTTGTATATCCTCAATAGCCGGGTTTGGGTCAGGTCCGATAGAGCCTGTCTGGCTGCCCCTCTTGAGGCCAGCCCTGCCCCTACCCTTCTTATCCCTGCGATCCTTGGTAATTCCCAGCTGCAAAATGGGGGAGCTGAGTGCCTCCCCAAGTCTCCTCGAATGTGAACCTCAGGGCTTTTGTCCTGCTGGTCACTCAGTCGTAGAAGACTCATCCCCAGAGCCCTTGGTGGCCCTTCGTGCTTGTCTCTGCTCAGAGGTCCTGTCCTTAGCCAGGGCATTCCTCCTGGGCTCCTGAGGCCTTCTCCCGAGTAGTATCCATTGGGTGCATGTGGCTGTACTGTGGTGACACCCTCTGGACCCTCAGCAGCAATTCCTCCCTGACTGCTGTCTAGCAGAGCCTCCCAGCTTGCCTTGCATGGCTAGCAGGACCAAGAGGTCATGAGAAGCAAAGAGGTCAGTGCCTGCGGGCCCTGCCCAGCTGGCATGGACAGAGAGCAGGCAGGGAGCAAGAGAGGCCAGTGCGCTCCTGAAGATCTGTGTTCAGGTCCCACCTGCCACACCGACTCGTGCAGTGGCAGGAGGCAGTCACAGAGCCCCATGGGGGGTGGCAGTGTGGGCAGAGCCTGTCCAGACCAGGGCCTCCATCTGGCCTGGGAGCTGCCCAAGTCCTAGCCTGCAGCTGTTGCTGAGACCTTGCAGATGGAGCCCTGGGTCCTTCGAGGGCTGACAGCTGTGGAAGGCGACAGGCCAGGAGGCAGGGACCAGTGCTGCAGTTTCTGTTAGGAACACCTGGCTCCAAGGAGCGGCCGGTCAGCCCAAGGCTGGTCCCTCACCTTGCCACGGTCAGGGTCCGCAGGGCTGCTGAGAGAGGAGAGGCTCTGCTTCTTCCCAGGAGGCTACAGAAGAGGGGGTGTCCTTCCCACTGGGAGACTCTGCCTGGGCACTGGTGCACACAGAGGGAAGCCAGGACTGGGTGCCACCTGGATGCTGGGTGACAGCAGGTGTGGGATTTGCAGCCACCAGGTGGGGATGCCTCCTGGGCTCCCACCAGAAAGCAGCGGGCACTGCTGCATCTCCACAAGAGGGCGCCCTGCTGGCTCTGTGGCCACTGGTAGGCCACCCAGCCCATGGGACAGCCACAGGGGACCAGGCAGGGAGGCAGTGGAGGGCTTTCCGGGTGAGGGATGGACAGGCATCTACGCTGTGATCTGAGTTGATGCCTGCCGGGAGGGTGCCCTATACCCCAGACAGTACTCAGGGAGTTTTTCTGGCAGGTCCAGAAGGCAAGGGATGCCCCAACTGTAGCTGCAGATTCCATCCTGAGTGTTCCACCTAGCCCCAGCTGAACTCTGACCTGTGGATGAAAAATGACTCCCCACACCCGTGATAAGGGGTCTTTTCCCTAAAGGGTTAATATTGGGGGGGGGCGCTCTGTGTGGGGAGTGGGCAGCGAGCAGTCCACAGCCAAGAGGGGGACAAGGGACAGGTGGGGGACACTGCGGCCCCTGTGCAAGAATGGGGGGTATTTTGGGGGCATTCTGCAGACCCGTCCACCCGAGTCCAGCCAGAAAGGTTCCCCACCGCGAGTCTCCCCTTTCTCCTCTGGGCATCTCACTGGCTCAGGTGTGACCTAGGCCAGGTGTGCCCTCCTCTGTCCCCTGCTAAGACCCCCACCCGCGTTTGTGACTGGGTCCTCCCACATGCATCCTGCTCTCCTTTGGGGACACTAGTGGCCGGCCACTCCCTGCTCCAGCCCGAGGACATAGCACATAAGCTGCCGCTCCGACCCCAGCAGGGTCTCAGGCCTCTGCGAACCGGACTGAGTCGCTCCGCAGGCGCTGACCCAAGGCCGGGCGAGCCCCGCGGCACGGTTAGCGGCCCGGCCCCGCGCTTGCTCCTCCTCGCCGGCGAGCTCCGCCCTGGCCACCGGCCGCGCGCTAGGGGCGCCCGGGGCGGCGGAGGCGGATGTGGGCGCGGCGCGGGCGCGGGCGCGGGGCGGGGAGAGGGCGGGGAGAGGCCGGCGGCGGCGCGGCACCGAGCGAGGCGAGGCGAGGCGAGGCGAGGCGGCGGGGCCGGCCCAGCGCAGCGGCGCCCGAGCACGGAGCGGCGGCGACCGAGCAGCGCCAGCCCGGCCCGCGCCGCCCCCCGCGCGCGCCCCGCGGCCTCCGGCGGTCCCGCCCAGCGCGGCCCGGGATGCGGAGCGGCGGGCGCCCGAGGCCGCGGCCCGGCTAGGCCCGCTCGCACGCGGCCGGTGAGTGCGCCGCCCCCCGTGCCGGCCGTGGCCGCCGCGCTTTGTTCCTGCCGGGTCGCGGCGGAGCAGGAAGTGGCCGAGCGCGGCCTGGGCGCGGAGGGCGCGGGCTCGAGGAGCCGGCCGCCCAGCCCGGCCTCCGCTTGACCTTGGGGCGCGGGCCCGGCCGGGGAGAGGGGCGCCGCTGGGCGCGCGGGGGCTCGGCGCCTTGGGCCGGCGGGCCTCCGCGGAGCGGGGCTGGGGTAGGAGAAAGGCTGGGCCTGCGAGCCCGTGGGAGGGCCTGGAAGGAGACCTCATTTCCCGTGGACGAAAAGTTGTCGCGGTGGCAGGGCGCCCAGGCTAGCCCACAAAGGGCGCCTGGCCCTGCCGGCCCGGAAGCTGCTTCCTGCATGCCGAGGCCTGGAGGAGCTGCCCACCTTGGCTATCAGGGGACCTGGAGAGCCAGGGGGGCACCCGAGACAGCCACCCTGGGCCAGCTGGTTCTAGGGCTGGGCCTATGCCATGTGGCCCCTAGCCCTACCTCACTCTAGGTGGCTGCTGGTCACTGCTGTCCTCAGCCCCAGTGAAGGGCGGGTACATTGGTGGCCGCTGGACACGGGGCTCCCAGACTTGGATCCCAGGTGTTGTTTGGGGCATTGTGCCTCAGGCCTTAGTGGTATTGCCCCCATTCCTACATGAGGCACCCAGGTCCCGGGACCAGAGGTGTGGTCCCACACCCAGGCTGTGTGGTGTGATGTATTTATGCACAGGCCTCCAACAGCTGTCACTGTCAACAGCAGGCTTGGGCCTGGCAGTGGGGGTGGCAGCCTGCAGGCCTCCAGGCCACGCCCACCAGGCCACAGATCCCCCTGTGGCTGCCTTGGGCTGGGGACCTCCTGCCTGCTTTGCCCGGGCCTGCTGAATGCCCACTTCCTCTACCCACTGGGTCTTCCCTGTCCTGGCCTTTGACACTGGCGTTGAGGCCTTCCTGCTGAGACAGATGCAGAAGACAGTGATCCAGTGACACTGTGGGTTCCTAGCTCGAGCCTTAATAGGCCAGAGATGAGACTGGTGGGAGGGTGTCTGGGATGGTTGGAGAAGGACCCACGTTTGGGTGCATGCCACCTGGTCCTCACATCTCCTGTGGTGCCTTGAGCGGCAGCACAGAGCTGCTGACAAAAGGCCTGTACAAAGGCTCCTTCACAGGATGCCTAGAGGTGGTGACATGGGAACTGGGTTTTGAGGGATGCCTAGGAGTACAGTACTTGCAGAAGGATAGCTGTGGACTGATGGGCAGAGTGTGTTCTGGCCCCTGCAGGGTGAGGGATTGTACAGTGCCCCCACCTGTGGCCTCCTAAATGCCGTGATTGTCGATCTTTAAGCACCCTGCTCTGGGTGTCCCTCACTGATGGGACCCTCTGAGCATGTCTTTGTCTCAGGCGCCCAGCACTGGGCTGGCGGGATGAACCAAATTCTGAGGCCAGGGTGCTGTGGCCTAGCAGGGCTGGAGTTCCTGGAGGGCCAGTGTCTCCCGCAGGGCTCTGCTCTCCCAGTGTGCAGGGTCTCTGCCAGAGGTGCCAGCCTGTAAGGGTGGCCAGGCACTGGGCACGTCTGGAGGAAGAGGAGGTGGGCTTGGGCAAGGTGGGGCAGGCGGCTTCGGAGGCCTTGAGGGTGGGAAAAGCAGGAATAGGAGGCGGGGTGTGTCTGAGACCCCAGCAGTGCCACCTCACACCCTGCCTGCCGCTTCTTCCAGACGCAGCGGCCAGGGCTGGGCCCCGAGCATCTGAGAGGAGACTGTGGAGACCACGAGCACCCTGGGGCCACCCCGGCCTGTGGGGGCTGCAGGCACCATGAGTGACGTGGCCATTGTGAAGGAGGGCTGGCTGCACAAGCGAGGTCAGTGGTGGCTAACCGGCTGGCGCCTGGGGCCCAGCCTGCCTTCCCTGGTGGTAGGCACTGGCTGGGGTGGGGCTGGCATGGTGTGCTCACCTTCCTGGCTTTCCTGAAGGCACTGCCCGGGGCTCCCAAGGGCAGCACAGGGCCCACCACCTCAGGCTGGACTCTGGGGCTGGGGCTTCTACCACTCAGGGTGCAGCCTGCTCTGTGGGATCCCTGCATCCCCAAGAGGGGCCTGGCTGTGCCCTCCTGCCCTAGAGTGGGCACTGGCCAGCCCCTCTACACTTCTTTCTCTGGAACTTCTCCTCTGGAAGTCCTGGTGATTCCCTAATGCCAGGGGCTCACCATGCCCTCAGGCTAATGGATGCCATGTCTTTGTTGGGGGTGGTCCCAGGACAGATCAGATGGGTGTGTGACCAACGTTGGTATCATGAGATGGGGTTTTGTGGGACATATAGGAGCTCCTCAGCAGAGTAGGTCTGGGAGCTGTGGGGACTAGGCAGGAGGCTGTGGGGTGAGAGAGACGCAATGCCAGGACCTCCAGAGGGTGCGAAGCAGCAGGAGGGAGCCGTCAGCTCACACTAAGGCAGCCCGACTTGGCAGCTTCTGGGAGGTCAGTGCCGTCCTGCAGTCACAGACTGCAGCCTGTGACTGCCCCGTCCGGCCTGCCGCCCCCTCCCTCCGCCTGGTGCCCCAGAGCAGCCTGGGCCTTGGTGTGGGGTCCACCTGCCTCCATGCTGCTTTCCTCTGGGCTGCGCAGTCTGCCTTATTTTTTTTTTTTTTTTAACTTTTTGTTGGTACCGGGGATCGAACTCACGACCGCCTGCTTGCAAGGCAGGTGCTTATGCCGCTGAGCTAAATCCCCAGCCCCCAGTCTGCCTTCTTGGCTGCTGTTGGTTGGCCAACCATTTGATTGATTACCGGGCGATGCTTGGCCTTGAGTTCCTGGGGCATTTCCTGCTCCGGGGCTCTCCCTGGGGGCTGAGGCCCAGAGTGGGAGAGTGGGACGTCCGGCCCTGTGGGGTGTCCTGAGGGCTGCGTGGGGCCCCATTGGGTCACTCTGTTATGGTATTGCCTTACAGAGCGAAGGTCATGGACAACCGTGGGCCTCAGTTTCCCCATCTGTACAATGGGAGTAAGGAGGGGGGTGGGGCTCTGCTGGACATCAGCCTCCCCTCCCAGGCCAGGGGAGAGGGCCCTGGCCAGCCCTGCTCCCTCCCAGCCTCATCATAGGTGGCACAGGTATGGGGTGGCATCCAGGTGGAAGGTGGCACCAGTGTTCCTGCCTGTTAGTCTCCCCCTCCCGGGGGGCTTCTTGTGAAGGCAGTCACCACTGTGTCCTCTTTGATGCCCAGTGTTCCCCATGGACTCTGGGCTGTCACTGGGGGTGCCTGGCCACACCTGGTCCTCTGTGACCCCTTGGGGTAGACGCTAGCTGGATGGGCTTCCTGGGACCGGACTCCCAGGGAGACAGTGCCACTGAGACAGGGCGACCGTGCTTCGGGGGGACCATGGTCATGAGGATGAGCCTGCGGGTGTCTTGCGCCGCAGGACAGTACCTCAGGGAGCCCTGCTCACATCCCCTCAGTCAGGCTCCCTTTGTCCTCAGCGTTGCTGAGCAGAGCAGGAGCTGCCCCAGGAGAGGGCCAGGGAAGCGGCTGGGGCACAGGACACAGGAACAAGGGGACACGGGGCAGTGGGGAGGGTCCGGTTGGCCTGCACCAACCCAGTTGCTTGTGGGGGCAGCATTCGGGCTTCAGCTCAGCTGGACCCAGGAGGCTGCACACTGGTCAGGCTGCGAGTGTCTGCTGTGGACTCCCCTGGTCTGGCCCTAGGCATCCTGGGAGCCGGGGGCTGGGCACTGACCCCAGGGGGCTTCGAGCCTGTGCCCTCAGCTGTGCTGTGAGGTGTGCAGGGTGCAGCAGCCCGGCTGGTGGCCCAGTCACGGGGAGGGGGGTGGGGAGGCAGAGGGCGCAGGTCAGCAGCCTGGCTGTGGCGAGGGTCGGCGGTGCAGGGCCCGCGTTTCCTGTTTTGTGAGCGCACTGAACTCTCCCTTCAAAAACAAACAACAAAAGAGGAAGCGGGCGACCTTGCCCGGGGATGGGGTCACTGCTGTCCCCAGCCTGGATCCAGAGGCCCCTGAGCCCTGGTTGTCCTGTCTGGAAGGGGTGTCCTCCAGTGGGGGGTGCTCCTGGAGTGGGCACGAGGCCATGAGACCCACCCAGATGTTGGGTCCTGGACTCCTCCTGATCCCATTGCAGCCCTGTGGGAAACAGAGTTTGTGTCCCACAGGGAAGCTGAGATTTGAGGTGGAGCCAGGTGGCTCCTGGACTCCTGGGCTCCTGGGAGAGGCCTGGCTGGTTGCATCAGGCCAGTTCCTAGAAGTGCTGTCAGGGTGGGGAGGTAGGGGGAACTGGCATGGCCAAGCTGGCACCCCCTGCCTGGGCACACCCGGGCCAGGCTTGGTGCCAGCACCCTGCCTCACCCCCCTCAGCGGAGCGGAGGCTGTTGCCTGCTGCCCAGGCTGCCCGGTGTGGTGGCAGAGGCCACCGCCCCGTCTGCCCTGTCTTCCCTGCTCTCCCCAGCTGGGCCTGGGCCTGCTCTGGCCCAGCTCCGCTTGCCGGGGGCCACCCACCCTCTGCACTGCCGTCTTTTCTTTTGCTTTTGAACGTGCTTTCCTTTAACCTTGAGAAATAACAGTTCTGTGTCTGCAGATGTTGGCACTGGGGTTCACAGTCAGCTGTCCTGTGGGGCTGGGGTATGGGTGGGACCCCAGGGTGTTGGGTCTGGGTGGCCAGCACTGCAGCCCCAGGCTTAGCTCCTTCAAGTGGTGTCTGGGGCCTGCCCGGTGAGGCGTCAGGAGGGGCTTCCTCTGGGGGAACCCAGGGTAGGCTCTGAGGTAGGGTGGTGAGGTCCGCTCTGGGGGGCGGCAGTGGGCAGGCCCTGGGCCCTTGCTTCTGTGTCCTCTGGTTGTCTGCACTGGGCTGGGGAATCTGCCCTGGCCTGTAGGTGCCCCAAGAGAAGCACTGGGCTCCTGTCCCTGCTGAGCGGCACTGCCTGTTTGCCGTCCCTGACCCTGCTGAAGGCTTCGATGGGCTGGGGGAAGCGGTGCGTCCATGGGCACCACTCTGAACTGAACGAGGTGCTGAGTGCCTCAAAATGATTCCCTTTCCTTACGGGACCTCCATCTGTGGCGGGCCCCCTGCTGTCTGGCTATACCTGGCCAGCAGATAGGTGACAGGTCTGGGGTGGGGACAGAGCTCCGTGGAGGGGAGCTGGTGGCACAGGATTGGTGGCCAGTATGAGAAGCTCTGTGAGCAGGACAGGCAGAGACGGCACCTGGAGGCACTGGGATTGGGAAGACCATAAACCAACATGGGTATGGGCTGAGTAGGAGGATTTGGGGGACAAAGGATGTGGCATCACTGGGCTCGGTGGCGGATGGACAGATTGGATGTGTGGCGTGGAGGAATCTGGATCACCTCCTTCACTGGCCAGGGGAGGGTGCTGGGCAGCTCCAGGGGGGAGGAGGCAGTGGGGAGGGGTGGTGATATCCTCTGAAGGTTGGAGGGTAGCCTGGTGGCACCTAGCCTTCCCTGGGGTCCCAGGACAGGGCGTGTGTTGATGCCTGCTTGATGGCAGAGCCTGAGCCTGTGAGGAGCTACTTGTGTCCTTCAGCACCTGGGTCTGTGGTCACTGCTTCTCTGTAATACGAGTGTCCCCTTGTGGGAGTCTTAGGTTCCCCTGTGAGGGTGGGCGGGACTGTGGGCTGGAGAGAAGTCCACAGAGCTTGCTCGGTGAGACACCTGCCTTCCAAGGGCCAGTTGGGGAGCAAGTGGGTGGTGGGGCCAGGGCTTTGGTTGCATGACCCCTCCCTGCCCTGCCCTGCCCTGCCCTCGATGGCCAGCACCTGCTGGGCACTACAGAGGTGCAGCAGACAGGCTGCCTTGGAGTTGGCCGTGCTGCCCGCTGGCCTTGGGGCTGCTGGCCAGGCTGCCCGCGTGCTCAATGTGCTGGAGAAGGTAAATGGGTGCCTGGCAGCTGTCACACACGATGGATGTGGCGGCAGCGGGGGACTGTGTGGTCGCTGCTGTCAGCTGGCGCCTGCTCCGCAGGCCTGCTGGGGCTCACTTTGCTGTGGAGAAACAGCTCGCTGTCGCCTGGCGCCCCGCCAGCTGCCGCCTGCCACTGCACCACGGCGTGGCAAAGTGTTTACCCAGCAGTTTCCCAAGATCTGGGACTCGGGGTGTCTGTGGCACTTAGGATGCAATGGCTAGGCCAGTGTGGCTCAGAGAGGCCTGTGCTCCTGCCACCTGGAGAGACCCGGGATGTGTCTGTGGCCTAGCCCCATCCATGGGTGCTTTGGCAACCAGGCCCTCCTGAATCCTTGATGGAACCCGGCATCCAGCCCAGGAGGAGCCTGCCTGGAGAGGCCCTGTCCTGGCTGGGGACCACAGGAATACTGAGGCCTTGGGGTATTCATTGAGGTCTGGGCCCTGCTGCCAGCCTGAGCTGGGGCCTGGTCCCTGGCTCACCTTGTCCACCCCTGCAGCTGGGCCCTGGAGCACCCTGTGCTCGAGGGGTGGTGCAGGGCAGGTGCCCACCTCTGCCTGCCTGGACTGTGGCAGCAGGCAGGAGGTACACCTTCGACTGCCATCCCATTACAGTGGCTGCCTGTGGGAGCTGAGCCCACTCTGACATCTAGGCCACCTTGGGTTGTCCTTCCTGTGGAGTGGACCTGTGGCTTCAGGCAGCATTGGGGCCTGGGGAGGGACAGCGTCTTGGGAGGCTGACCTGTCTTTATCCTCTGCCTCCTGCTCGCATCTATCCAGAGCAGGGCCCTGTGAGGGCACCTGAGGTGGAGGCTGGGCACTGTGGTCCTGCGGGCTATGGGCTGCACAAGTGCCCAGCTGGAGCCAGCTTGGCCAAGGGAGGGAGGTCAGGCTGGATGGGTAGCCTTCCATGGACACTGAGGACAGAGGGGAAGGGGGCCTTGTGGCCAGTCCCTTCCTGCCTGTCCCATCTGCTGTGACCCCAAGGTGCCCTCAGAGACTGCCCCTTGTGTAGCCTTCCTGGTCTCCAGGGCGATGGTCTGCACTGCTGGTCTTCCTCTAATCCTGTCTGGACGGAACTTGTTAATGTGCTGGCCATGGCCAGGTCGCAGCTGCTCCCACCCCAGTGATGTCCTGGCTGGATCAGAGGCAGGAGATGAAGAGAAAGATTGTGTGTCCAGGCTGGTCTGGGTGCAGAGACCCAGTTTCTCTTCTGGAGGGGTCAAGTGCTGGGACCCATAGGCAAATGGGAAGGCCAGGTCCTTTCCAACCGGAGGCTCTTGGGCCTTCCTGGCTTTTCTCTAGGGGGCGGAGTCTTTCCCAGCGACAGCTACCTTTGGCCTGCACCCCCAGGTCTGCTCCCAGAATGGCTGGGCAGGGCTGGTGGGGCAGGGGTTGGGAGGGGGCCGAGTTGGGGTCAGGCTGGGAGTTGATTGGTTGGACTGCGTGCTGGTGTGGTGGTCCGGGGCTGTGAGGGGCGGGTGGCAGTTGGTGGAGCAAGATGGATTTCCGGGGCACGGGGTGCAGTGCTCATCAGCCGCCCGGCTCAGTTAGCATCCTGGGGAGCGGCAGCTGGTGAGATGGGAGGTACTCCATCAGGGGCCGACAGCTCCAGACTGGTGCCGGCGGGTGGGCACTCGCTGCGGGCGGGCTGGGATGGGGGTGGGTACCCCCTGCCTGCTCTGCTCCCTCCACCTCTGCCCATGCTGCGCAGCCAGGCCCTGCATCCAGTGGGGCCACGTGATTGGCAGGTGTGGACGGCCAGGGCTGGAGCTTTGTCCACAGGGGCTGTGGGACCCTGGATAGGCAGATGCCCTCCTCTTCGGGTGGGTTGTGCTGGGTGATGGCCCCCAGAAACCCTGGGGTCCAGTTTCAGCTGCAGGTGCCCTGGTGGCTGCAGGTGTGCTGTATGCCAGCAGCAAGGGGGGCTGTTCTCTCAGAAGGACCCCAGCATTGTTCACAGGCAACGGGGACAGGAGCTCTTCCTGCTGGCATCTGGGGCTGGGGTAGCCTGGGTGGGCTCTGGTCGGCCTTTCCCAAGCCTGTATCTGGGTAACCACTTAGGCCCTGCTGGGGGCCCGCACTTGTGTCCACCGTGCATCTCCCTCTGGCCAGGATGTTGCAGAGTGAAGACTGCTTGGGTGGGGAGACTGGGTGGTGGGTATGGGAGGAGGGTAGGGCCGAGGCCATGAGGCCGGAGCCTGGGCCTCGACCCGGACACCCAGATGTGGCGTGGCCTGCAGGAGGACCACAGGGGGTGAAACCTCGGGGTCTACGGGAAGTCGAGGGTGCTGCCTGGAAATGGGGACCTGCTCCTTGGGGACCCTGGGCGGCTGGGGTGTGCGAGGCTGCCCCGTAGGACCAAGCCATCCCTGCGTACTTGTCCCTTCAGGTCCCACCCCACCCTCTGCCCAGTGCCCCCAGATGAAGAAGTTGCTTAATTAGTAAGTTCCCTGTTGTTCAGACTCCTTGCTCGGCAAAATGTAAATGAAACATTTTTTCCGGGTGTCAGTATGAAAAATGACAGTCGCTTGAGATCACAGAGGACATCTGTTCTCGGCCCCACTCGCGAGTGCCTGTGTGTGGCTGATGCTGCAGAATGTGAGGGAAATGCTGCCATGTACCTGGTGGCCAGGGCAGGGCTGGGTCAGCACTGGGCTGGTCTTGGTGCCCAGCTGCAGGAACCTCCCAGGCCTGCTTCTACAGGCCAAATGGCGCCGCCAGCAGTGCTGTCCCAGGTGGGGTGGACACCCTGTGGCCTAGTCCAGGTGGGCTGCAGGTGGCCCTGCGTCCGCCATGAGCCCCTGGCCGAGCTACACACTGGCTCCATCCTCGGGCAGGGGCCAACCAGGTGGTAGCCACACCTGCCATTGTTACTAGCAGCCACCACTTTCTGGCCCTTGGGTGCCATAGCAGAGCTCTGGTCCTGAGCCCTGGTACGTGGCTGGGCGCTCTCAGTGTCTGTCCCCAGAGTGCCTGTCTGTGGTCCAGTGCCCTCCCCGGCTGTGCACTCGGCCCAGCGGCCCTCCTGTCTGCCCACAGGGGAGTACATCAAGACCTGGCGGCCGCGCTACTTCCTCCTCAAGAATGATGGCACCTTCATCGGCTACAAGGAGCGGCCGCAGGACATGGACCAGCGTGAGTCCCCTCTCAACAACTTCTCTGTGGCACGTAAGTGTCCCTCAAGTGCCCTAGGTTGGAGAAGGGATGGTGTGTGGCAGGAATGGCTGGAGCCCTTTGCGTGCCAGGCCTCCGCTGAGGTCCCCTTTGGCCTCTGTCCTGGGGAGCAGGCTGGGCAGTGCTGGCTCCGAGGTCATCTCTGGGACTCGGTCATCTCTGGTCAGCTCGGGCTTGGCCAGGATGGAGCTGTCGCCTGGGGCCCTTGTTTGGAAGCTGGGGGCTATGGCACTGGGGACTAATTGGAGCCCACCAGGTCTCATGGGGACCCTTGCGGCAGGGTAGACAGGATGCTGGGCGGGGGCTTTCAGCTCTCACAGCTTCTGCCACCCCCGGGAGGAGTCATGGCTTTGCCTGTGAAGGTTCCCTGAGCCTCCATGTCTGTGGGGTGCCTTTGTCTCCACCATGGCTGAGGGCCATGGGTGTCCAGAAAGCCCGGCCTGTGTGGGCCTAGCAGATGGGATGCTGGGTTCCTGGTTGTCACCCTATGGCCAGCTCTCCCTGGGTTGGTCCAGGACAGGATCAGGTGTACAGGGGTGACCCAGAGATGATCAGGGCTCAGCTGTGGGACATCTGTGAGGGGTGGGCTGCCAAAGACAGGCTCTGGGATTGGTCTGAGGCTGCAGTTGGCAGTATAGTGCAGTGTGCACTGTGGGTTGGACTCTGGCACCTCCGTATGGTCCCACCTCCAAGTAGCTCTGTCCCTCCTCCCTGGGTCTGGGTCCTCTGGCTTTCCCAACCTCACTGGGTCCTGGTTCCTGGCCCTGGTCCTGGGGCTCAGGCTGGATGTGGAACAATCTCAGCCTTGGGATCTGCAGGCAGAAAAAGGAGCAAGGAGATTCTGGAACCCTGGTTGTACCATCGCCAATCCCGAGTCTCCGACCTGTGCTCTGAGGAGGAGGCCACAGCCAGTGCTGTGAGCCCCGGGTGCCCAGTTTGGAGGAGCAGATCCTGCCCTAAGAGGTCCAGGCTAAAGGGCTTTCTGCGGACCTTTATTTGGGCCCAGCTCCTCTGAACCCTGTCCTCCTCTAAAGCTCCTCCAGCTGCAGGCCCAGCAGTGGCTGAGTGGTCTGCTAGTCCGTGGCCCTGGGATAGGAGAGATCGAGGAGGGAGATGCCCAAACTCTGTCCAGTGTCCCCTCAGTCAGAACCAGGGCCTTCATGGCTGAGGAGTGGCCTTGGCAAGGTACCTGGAGCACACCCCAGAGTGAACGTAGCCAGCAAGGGCAGAGGGGGACTCTGGAAGGGCACCAGCCAGGGCCAGGGCTGCAGCCCAGCTGTGTGCTGCAGGAGACAGGGCATGGGTTGGGGTGGCTTCGCTGGCCTCCGTGACCAGGAGTTTTCCCCAGGGTGGATTCTGGACACTCCAGAAAACCCCACTCTGGATGTGGCTTCCCACCTGGTGGCCTCCAACAGGCTGTCTTGGAGGAAGGAGGGGGCTCTGTGCTGTCACACAGGGTAGGCAGGTTTTCCACCCTCCCGTGTGTGGTGTTGACACAGGGCCTTCCCACAGAGCTGGCTCAGTCCCCCTCTGGGCCCCAGGCCTGGCAGGTGCCTCTTCACTCACTCAGTGGAGTTCCGCCAGCCCTGCACATTGCCAGGGCCCTGGTGCTGGAATGTGGGAGGCCCCTTTGCTGGCCCCTCACTACAAGCCCTGCCCAGAAACCCTCTCTGCACAAACAAGTCTCATTCCTCAGGCCTCTTTGTCCTCACCATCAATCCACTGTGTGTGTGTGTGGGGGGGGGGGTGCTGCAGGCATACATGAGTCCCAGGTGTCCATGCTGCAGATATGCGTGTATCACAATTGTGTGCAAATCAGGTGGCCATGATCCAGGTGTGTGTGTGCTCCAGGTGCACAGTAGTCCCAAGTGTGTTGTGTTGCAGGTGGGCATATGCTTTAGGTGTGTGGTGCACATGTGCACATGCTATAAGTGTGCCTGCTTCAGTTGTGTGCTCAAGGAGGACGCAGTGCTGCAGCTGTGTCTTCCAGGTGTGTAGCTACCCCCGGTGTGCTGCAGGTTTATGCACTCCAATGTATGTGCTTCAGGTGTGCATGTGCTCCAGCTGTGTGTGTTCTCCAGATGCTCCAGCTATGCTTGGAAAAGCCACAGACATTTGTGCACCGGGTGCGATGGGGCAGGCTGCGTCCCAGACCTGCTCCAGGACCTCAATGCCCCTTACTCTCCAAGGCCTGGCATGAGTTGGGGGCTCCAATACAAAGACAGGATGTGCTGTGGGAGGGGGTCTCTTGGGGACACCTCTCGCCTTAAGAGCAGGGTGTCACAGCTGCAGCAGGGCCCAGCCCTGCTTATGATGGAAACAGGCTTGGAGAAGGCCTGGATGACCTGGGACCAGGTGGGCTGCTGTGCAGACATGGCTGGGAGGGGGAGGCAGGCACACAAAATGCTCCCTGGCCCTGTCCTCAGAATGCCAGCTGATGAAGACGGAGCGGCCCAGGCCCAACACCTTCATCATCCGCTGCCTGCAGTGGACCACAGTCATTGAGCGCACGTTCCACGTGGAGACACCTGAGGAGCGGTATGTAGGGTGGGACATGGGCCTGCGGTGGGCGGAGGCTCAGGTTGGAAACAGACAGGGCCAGGGACTATGGTGTCTGCTGCTCACAGCCACGCTCGGTCCCATTCTAGAAACAAGCCCTGCCCCACCTTGTGTGCGGTAGCTGGGAAAACTGAAGCCAGAGGTGAAGAAGGGTGGGTTGGGGTGCGGTGCCACTGGGGCTGGACTGCCCTGTCCCCGCCCCTGGAGGTTTCCAGACTTGTGGAGACCAGGTTCTTGGGCTGTACTGCCCAAGGGCAAAGGTGACTCAGCTGATGCCTGTAGGGAGGAGTGGACCACTGCCATCCAGACAGTGGCCGATGGTCTCAAGAGGCAGGAGGAGGAGCTGATGGAGTTCCAGTCAGGCTCGCCCAGCGACAACTCGGGGGCTGAGGAGATGGAGGTGTCTCTGGCCAAGCCCAAGCACCGTGTGGTAAGGCTGGACTTCCCCAGCTCCCTGCAGGGCACAGGGTCCTCACTTGGCATCCTGAGTGTGGCCTGGTGTCCTTGCTGAGCCTGTAGGCCCACCTGCACCCTGCCACTGAGGGTTTCGGGCAGGTGTGAGGAGCGGGGGCACTAACGGCGCTGCCTGCTGCCCACAGACCATGAACGAGTTTGAGTATCTGAAGCTGCTGGGCAAGGGCACCTTCGGGAAGGTGATCCTGGTGAAGGAGAAGGCCACTGGCCGCTACTATGCCATGAAGATCCTCAAGAAGGAGGTCATCGTGGCCAAGGTGTGGGTGGGTGTGGGGTGGGTGGTTAGGCAGGCGGGTGGGAGCAGACGGGTGGCAAGCAGACACTAAGCTGATCCTGCCTTCCAGGACGAGGTGGCCCACACACTCACTGAGAACCGTGTTCTGCAGAACTCCAGGCACCCCTTCCTCACGGTGAGTGAAGCCACTCACAGTGGGCTGATGCAGGAAGATGTCGTCTTGGGCTTTGGATGTGGCCCGTGGCAGGCTGAGTGTGATGGTGCTGGATGTGGGCCATGGGCTGTGCTTGCTGTGCTCAGTATGCAGCGGCAGGGGTAGTGACGTTGGTCTCCACCCATTTGCCCAAGGGCTGGAGAAGCCCACAACTCTGCAAACCTTCCTGTCCAGAAGGGTGTGTGCTGGGTGTCTGCATTCAGGGGAAGCCCCTGTCCAGTCAGCCACTGAGCTTGGGGTCAGCACCTGGGGGAGGCCAGCCATTGGTGACCTTCCTTGGATGAGGCTGCCTGTGTTCTGAGATGTAGAGGTGGCCGGACAGCTTGGAACATCAGGGTGGGAAATTTCAACTTGTGATCAGTTTTGGTGGCCCCAGAGTGTGGTGCAGTCTGCTTCCGAGGTCCCATCGTTTACCCTGGATGCAAGCCCAGAGCCCATGACTCATCCATGGAAGACACCTCGGTGCCTGTTGGGTACCTGGCACCGGGGGTGCACAGCTCCCACCTGTCCCTACCCCGCAGAGGGCCATGGCTGCAGCTGTGCTCTGTTCCAGGCCCTGAAGTACTCCTTCCAGACTCATGACCGCCTCTGCTTCGTCATGGAGTACGCCAATGGTGGTGAGGTAGGCAGGGTGCGGCCCTTGGCAGCCGCGGTAGAAGTGCATGGCGGGCTTGTCGGGTGAGGGTGATTCCTGAGCCTCCCGGAGCTGGGCCGGTCCCGCCCTGTCCTGCCTTGGGGTGGTGGGTGCCCCTCCCCTGCGCCCCTCAGCATTGCCTCCTACAGCTCTTCTTCCACCTGTCCCGAGAGCGTGTGTTCTCGGAGGACCGGGCCCGCTTCTACGGTGCGGAGATTGTGTCGGCTCTGGACTACCTGCACTCGGAGAAGAACGTGGTGTACCGGGACCTCAAGGTGGGACCCCACTGCGCCCCTGGGTGGGCAGGTGGCGGGGTCTGACGGTAGTGCTGAAGCCCAGGCCCCCGACAGCTGGAGAACCTCATGCTGGACAAGGACGGGCACATCAAGATTACAGATTTTGGGCTCTGCAAGGAGGGCATCAAGGACGGTGCCACCATGAAGACCTTCTGCGGGACGCCCGAGTACCTGGCCCCTGAGGTGTGCGCCCCGTCCTGTCCTCTTGTGCCTGCTGCCCTGTGCCCCAGCCTGTAGTGACGCTGTGTCTCCCTGCAGGTGCTGGAGGACAACGACTATGGCCGTGCGGTGGACTGGTGGGGGCTGGGTGTGGTCATGTATGAGATGATGTGCGGCCGCCTGCCCTTCTACAACCAGGACCACGAGAAGCTGTTCGAGCTCATCCTCATGGAGGAGATCAGATTCCCACGCACTCTGGGCCCCGAGGCCAAGTCCCTGCTCTCAGGGCTGCTCAAGAAGGACCCCAAGCAGAGGTGCGGCCCCTGCCCGGCACACCCCGGAGGGCGGGGCCGGGCCGGGCGTGCGCTGAACCAGCCCTGTCCTTGCAGGCTTGGTGGGGGCTCCGAGGACGCCAAGGAGATCATGCAGCACCGCTTCTTCGCCAGCATTGTGTGGCAAGACGTGTATGAGAAGAAGGTGCCGTGTCCACGTCTTCACACACGTGTGCATGTGCCTGTCACACTCAGCCCATGCTTGCCCACCCAGCCACATGGGCACGCGTGCGCGCCCTGGCCAGCTCACCTGTGTTCACTAGGGAGGCTGCTCCCCACTCCTCCTCAAGGAGCCAGGCTGTGAGGAAAACTGTGGGGCGGGGGCGCCCACCTCCTGGCCTTCGGAGGGGCCTGGTGCCTGCCACTGAGCATACCCTCACTGGCGTCTACTTGAGTGCCAGTAACAGGCCACAGTGGTGGGCAGGGCCCCAGGCACTTGCCCAGTGTCTTGGCCCTGCCCTGGAGGGTAAGGATCATGAACAGTGCTCCCTCCTGACCAGTTGTGACCAGGGAGCCTGGGTTCACTGAGAAGCCCTGATCCACAGGCTGGACGCCACGATGATGTCTTGGGGTCCTCACCGGTGGGCCCCAAGGGTATCTGAGGCTTCTTCCTCCAAGGGGACGGTCCCTCCCTGGGCTTGACAAGAGGGGAAGCTCCAGCGGCCCCTGTCCATCCAGATTAGCCTCTCCCAAACCCAGGCAGTCATGCTTGGGTCCTGGGGTTCTTTCCCACCCAGCTGCTGCCCGACATGCTTGCCCTCTGCCAGGAGGTGGGGTCACTCTGTGCACCTCTTCCTGAGAAGGCCTGTGAGGAGCACAGAGGAGGGATTGTTCTCATCCTGGGCAAGGGTCTGCTGCTGGGCTAGGCCTGGGGTGGTCCTATGGGGTTGTGAGCGCAGCTCCCCTGCCAGGCCCACCCCCTGCACTGCTATTTCAGAATGGCACTGGAGTCTGGGTACTGCAAGGGGCTGGTGCCTCCCGAGTTGGGGTGCACTGGGGTGCAGGCTGGGGCCTGTAACTAGCCCTTGCTGTGCCTCCTGCAGCTCAGCCCGCCCTTCAAGCCACAGGTCACCTCAGAGACTGATACCAGGTATTTTGACGAAGAGTTCACAGCCCAGATGATCACCATCACCCCACCTGACCAAGGTGAGGGCGTGTTCTGGGCCACAGACCCAGTTGCCCTGGGGGCTTCACATGCTTTACAGTCCAGACTATGACTGCTCAGGTGTTGATTTGTGTCCTGAGGGCTGGTGTCGCCATGTCCAGGGTTGCAACCCTGCCCAGTGGCGGGTGGGCCTCAGCCAGTCCAAGTTGTGTCTTGCCCTGCAGATGACAACATGGAGTGTGTGGACAGTGAACGGAGGCCACACTTCCCACAGTTCTCCTACTCGGCCAGCGGTACAGCCTGAGGGGCCCAGGCAGGGGCACGGCAGCCATGTCCGCATGAGGGCCTGGACGCCTCCATCAGATCACCTGCATCGGATGGCTGATTTCTCAGATGCACTGGGAGGAGCGACGCCAGCCCCCCACATGGGAAGATGCTGCTGCTGTGATGATGGCCTGCCGCCTGGCCAGGTCAAGAGAAAAACTGTCCTGCGGTTTCTCTTAATTTATTTCATCCAACCTGTTCTCCAGACGTGGCCTTGGCCCTCAGAACAATTACTCACGTAGGACACCTTAAGGACCTCTGCAGCCCCTGTGGTGTGGGCTGAGGGTCTGGGCAGGGCCTGCACTAACCCATTGTGGCTGTGCCTCTGGCTGCCCCCACCTGGGGTGCGGGGCCTCTCCCGGCCTATGCACCAGAAGCAGCTTCATGGGGACATACTGGCTGGTGCCGTCCCCTCTGGGTGGGGTATGAGGCAGCCCCTGCACTCGGGCCCTTCAGACACGCTGGGCTGGGCCGGGCCGGGCCAGGCCGGGGCTCGCCTGCAGGACAGAGCCTTGTACCTTGCCACTCCCAGGCTTTGGGAGTGAAATTTCAGTGACAGGAAAGCCTCTCCCACTGTGTCTGAGGGCCATCCCTGCCCCCTGCACCCTGGATGATTTCTGTCTCCACACTCGTCCTCTCCCCGCTTCACCTCTGACCTCCCCGTTCTGGCCAGACTTGGCCGCTGCTGCACCATGCCGTTTTTTACAACATTCAATTTCAGCATTTTTACTATTATAATATGAAACTTTCCCTCCAAATCTTCAATAAAAATTGCTTTTCAAGTTTGTGGCTGGCTTTAATGAGTGCTGAGGGGTGAAGAGCTGAGGCCAGCGCCCCTGCTGAAATTGGCCTCTGACGTGGCACAGGGCAGTTTCCGGCAGGACGCACCTGCGGGGCAGGGGGTGGCTGTCTGGGCTGCTGCCAGCCCCAGCTGCTGTCTGGCCTGTGGGGATGGGAGCAAGACCCACCAAGAAGAACTGGGACATGGCAGGGCCCAGAGCTGGGCGGGGCAGTGCAGCTGGGGGCCTGGGTCCCCAAGCAACACTGGAACCAGCAGCCTGCAGGGTGTGCAGCTGGTGCCCCCTGGCCAGCTCTTGGCAGGACTGCTCTGGGCCAGGTGGGGTACAGCTGGAGTCATGGGCCTCCACTCCACAGGGTGGACAAAAGTCCTGTTTCTATTGGGTGATCAGGGTCAGTCTGGGCCTGTAGGGGACAGCTGAGGTCTCTGGGTGTCCCTGGTCCTCGGTTCTAACAGGCTACACCACTGACTCCTACTGTTTTCTGGAAAACACAGTGGCAGCGTTACAGGTGGAATGATGCTTTGCAGAGGAGGCATCCAGGTCTCACATCCATGCAACACCAGCATGGTAGAAACCATTACCTTCCAACCCTGAGCAAAAGCTCACTGAGAAGGTGGCTGACTGAAGAGTGGGAACAAAGGTGCAACGCAGGGAGGGCAGAGCCCTTGGGGCCATTTCTAGTCCAGAGCCACAGGGAATGGATGCAGGGAGGGAGGCCCTTTCAGCCCACTACGCACTTCCCACTGCTGGGACAGAATGGTCCACAGTGGGACACAGCAGCAGAGGGAACACAGGTGCCTGCAGGCACAGGCAGTGGGGCGAGACGTGGCGGGGCTCTGCTGAGGACCAAGCTCTCCTCACACCCAGTGTATCTGCACCCTTCTCTTCCCGGCACAAGGCTGGTGGATCTGGCCTGGCTCTTCCTGGGCCCAGCAGGTGTGACAGCAGGCTCCGCAGGTCCAGGTGACAGGGATGACCAGAAGACGTCCCTACCAGGGGACATCTGCTGCAGGCTGGGCTGATCACTTGGCAGAGGCTCACTCCATCCTTTTCTTGTAACTCATTGCCTTAAAGTGAATTTCTCATAGGCAGCATGGCCAGGGATATGGCTTAGCAGCACAGCTGGCAAGCACAGGGTCCTGAGTGTGATTCCCGGTACCAAAAAAACCCTAAGTCTGGTGGCCTCTGGCAAGCTCGAAGGGGTCAGGCTTGCATGGTACTGGGGCCAGCGGTGCACACTGCTGCCCCCACATGCTCCCCTCCCAGTGTCTGCCTCCTTTCAGATTAAATGGGCATTTGAAGTCACCCCCTTTTATTGCCTGTATTGGCTTATTTGCCTGGGACTCAGTCTTTGTACCCCAGGGTACCATGTGCACTTCGGATATTTACTAAATGAGTGGCGCCCTGGGCTGTTGGTCTCAGGATTTATGCAACTTTTCGTCACAGTCCACCTTCAAATGGTGTAAGAGAACCTAGAAGCAGTTTACTTTCATTTCTTTCTCAACTTCCAGATGGTCATAAATTTTGTGTCCAAACAGGTCGTAAACTTCCAGATAACCTGTCATTTTTGTCTTGAATACCTATTTTAGTGTTGTAAAATGTGTGTGCATTTTAACGTTCACCACTTTCAGCGAATAGTTGTGGCAACAAGCAGTCATGTGCTGTCTAGCTGTCACCTTCTTGAGACCTTGGCCTCCCCAAATGAAAACTGCACCACTGAGCAGCCCCTAATCCCAGCCCTCGGCTCCTTCCAAACTGCAGTCACGGGTGCACTCTCCCACCACTGGCCAAGCTCTGCCCCACCAAGTTCAGGTGCTTATAGCACTGAGGTCTTGGGAACCTTCCTGCACCACGCACTGCTTCCACCCACGCCAGACTGACCGAGTCTCGCCACTCAGGCTGCTTTTCAGGCTGACCTGGGACTTGCAGTCCTGCCTCAGCCTCACAAGGGCTTTGAGGGTGGCAAGTGTGCACGTCTACGCCCGGCTCGGCTCACTTCTCGTCCCACCTGTGGTTCCTTTCGGACCACTGCTTCTGCTGGCTTCAGGCTGTGTCTTTTCCTCCAGTGTTCAGCCTTGCTTCTGATTCTGCTCAATGCACTGTCCACCTCAGACACTTCGGCCTTACCTCTGGATGCCTGGTTGGGTCATTTGTTTGTTTCCACCTCTTTCCAGTCTCCTCTGCCCTTCTGAACAGAAACAATGTCGCTATGAGAGCCATTTTTATTTCGTCCCCTTCTTGGTCCTTCCAGCCCTGGAGTCTCACAGGTCTCCTTCTGCTGACTGATTTGCCTTCTCACTGTAAAGTGTGTTTTCCTGTCCTCTACATGTTGGTTTTTACTAGACATCAGGTATGTACAGTTTACATTGCCAAGTGTTAGACTGAAACCAAAAATACTGGCAACAGCTGGCTGCTGAGGACAGACAAGGCAGCCTCTCTGTTGGGCTGATGCCCTGCTGAGGACCCTGCTGTGCCCCATGGAAGGTGAGATGCTGTCCCCTGCTGGGAATCCACTTGTTTCCTGCTCTTTGGGACTCTCCTCTAGTACAGAGAAGCATCCCCTCCAGGGTTCAGTGTGCAAACCCAGGGCCTGGCTCTGACTGTCCCTCTGTTGTCCTTGGGCTGCTGTCCAGGGCTCCCCTGCTGCTGTCACTGTCACCCTCCCAGATGACTCCTGGCCTGTGAAAGGTTCCACACTTACACGTGGACAGACAGGAGTCTATGTGTGCAAATATAAAGGGCTTTATTCACTTGTCATCAAAGTACAAAACACACACACACACACACACACACACACGAATGCGCATGCTTGCTGCTGCTGCTGCTCCTCCTCCTCTTCCTCGCTGACACACGGCCTCAGGCATCGAACATGGCGCAGCTGCTGCAAAGTGCCTTCTCACACACATCGCTGCAGCTGCATGTGCAAGGGAGAGACAGCCGTGTTAGGGCTGACTGTGCATCCAAATCCGGGATGTCTTGGAACACACCCCATTTTAGGAGAGCCCTGTGACAAAGGGGCTTCAGGGGTGTTGGGGAACAATGTCCTGCAGGGAGCAGCCTAGCTCAAAGGCGTGCTGAGGCTCAGAAGCCTGGGCTTCTCCTCCTTTCCCCACTGGGTGAGCAGATGTGATCGGAAAGGATGTCACCCTGAGGACAACAGTGTCCTGAAGAGAATGGGACCAGGGAGGAAAACACGAGGACAGAGGGAGAAAATGGCTGTGACCAGGTACTAAGGATTCCTAGGGCCAGCCAATGCCAGGAGGGCCGGGGAGACGCTCCCTCATAGCCTCCGCCGGCTCTCGCCTCACTGCTACCCTGCCTTGGGCTTCTGGCCTCCAGAAGTGGGACAGTATACTTGTGCTGTCTAAAGAGCCTGACTCAGGTCTCTGAGCCCAGGGTGGCCTGACCTGGGTCTCACAGAGGATAGTGCCCTCCCCTGAAGCCAACCAGACAGCTTGCAGAGTTCCACTAGAAGCACAATGACTTCTGAAGAGCAAGACTACCAGGAGAGCCCGCTACTCTCAGAGGAAACTAACAGGGAGGGACAGCTGAAGGACACACGGCAGCAACACACTGCATGAGTACGGTAAGGATACACAGGCTGAGATGGGCAGAGTCAGAGCTGCTTGCAACTGCCTTGCGCAGGAGCTGATGAGCAGCCCTGACAGCTAGCCTGTGAGCTGGCAGACAGCAGGCAGGGTACAGGGCCACCAAGTGGAATACTGGTGACTAGCTGGGCCACATTTCAGATAAACCACAGCCATTCTGGAAAAATCTTTGTTTCCCAACACTCAAAGGGAAACAAATCTTTGTTTCCCAACACCATAGAAGCCAGAGTGTGTCTGAATGGAGTGGTAGGGGAGAGGCAGAAAGCTTCAATGGCAGGCTGGCCACTGACCCAAGCAAGTCACTTAGCTGTAAAGCCATGCAGAGAGCTGACCTCCTGGGCTGTGACCACAAGAGCATGTCATCACAAGGGAAGTCAGCATGCCCTGGACACTCCCCAGAGTGTGTCTGGGGAGGAGGAAGCAGAAAGCAGAGATACAAGGAAACCAGCACCAGGGAGGATGGAGAACCTGAATCCAGCCACACTGGGCTGGAGGGCTCCTGTGGCTCCCATCAACCCGCCTTGCACGGGGCTCATTTCCTCCCAGGAACATAATGCTGGGAAGTCCCTACTTCTTCCTGTTTACCTGTCAGGAGGAAGATGAGCTGGGCTGTGAGACCCACCGAAGAGTATCCCACTTCCATAACTAGCTTGAGACTCCATCCTCAAATGGCCAGTCTCAATCATCCAGGCACTGGCCACGGACCCAGTTGTCCTCCCTACACGCCCTCTCTCAGCACGTCTCCCGATCCCCCACCACCACCCTGCTTTTTCACTCTTGCCCAACTATAGAGCTGCTCACGTGTGCCTGTACTGTCCACTCTCCAGGGAAGGGGTGGAGCCCTATATAAGTGTTCCAGGGGGCTCTCCTGAACAAGGTGTGTCCCTGACAGCTCTGGGGGGGAGCAGTCTCCTGGTAGGCACCCTGCAAGTGCCAGGCCCAGCCAGCCATGGGAAATAGGTGTGCAAGTACACGCAGACTGGTAGGAACGCCGTGCGCAGCCTAACTGCAGTGCACACTTGCGGCCCTGCCAGTCATTTCCCACACAGGAAAAGTGAACCCAGGAGAAAGCACAAGCTACCCGCTCCTAAATGTGAAGGTGGAGAAGACCAAAGAGGTATTTTAAGACAGGAGGCCCCAGAGACAGTAGCTGGCTTGTAAACTTCAGATTTCCTTCAGAAAGGACCATTAAATTTTCAGAAAATAAAAAGAAGTCAGCAAGGCATCTGTAACCATCATGTCCTATCCCATTAAGCAACGGCACCAACAAAGGACCCACCTGTCCCTCATAGGGCATCCTGTGACCCCCAGAACATGCTGATGAGAGGGACAGGAAGGATGGCCTAGGTCTTTGGAAGATGCACAGACTAAGACACTTACTCTACAAGGCCACACAGGGAACAGGCCACGGCGCCACAGCCCCAGCAGGTGCGCGTGCACTGCCCACACAGGGCCCGCTCGCACTGGCTGCAGACCACCTTCCCATCCACAGCTCGCACGCATGATGAGCAGGCACGGGACGCTGCCCGGGACAGGTCTGTGAGGAAGAAACACCAGGCTGTCAGTCCTGGAAGGATATGGGGCCACTTGTCTCTTTTCAAAGTGAAGGCAGAGGACCCCAATTCATCTACCACTGAGTTCTTCGGACAACCCACAGACCAAGTACAGCACCTGGACTCTATTCAACTAGAAATACATGGTGAGACTCCAAATCAGCATTGCTGCACCACCCAGAACCCAAAGGAACAGCTCTTGCTATCACCTTACCAATCTCTGTGCCCCCACGTCTCACGGTGACACTGCTTAACCAAAAGTTCCTGAACCGTCCCAGGCCAGTGACCAGACCCAAGGATGAAGCTGGCAACTGTCTGTAACCTGCCCCATGGCACAGAGCCACCTGACCAATGTGCTCCCCACTACAAGGCTCAGGAACTGCTGAACAACCTTCAGGCAACAGGAGGCTTCTCAGCTTCCTGACATTTGCCCAGTTTAGACTGTGGGTGGGACTCCTGCTTGCCCAGATAGAGAAAAGTCCCATGCAGGCCGCCTTTCCACCATGGCCCTCAGTATCATAGCAACTTACCAGCTTTGGAGGCCTGGGCACTGCTCCTGATCAGTTGACCATCGGGTCCAATCAGCAGCTGGCCTCTTGCAGCTCGAGGTGTCTCTGTAGGGCCAGGCTTCGGGGACTCTGGCAGGTGTACAATGGCACAGCTTTCACCCCACACATGGTCTCTGCAGGCCTGGGCCCCATGGAAAAGCAGCTGCTTGGTCTTTTCTGAGGAGTACAGACCATTCATTAAGTTTATACTACAGCCATGAAACTCTCACATAGTCATTCCATGACCCACCAGAAGGTACAAAGCACACCTCTGTCTGTGCCTGTCACCCTGGCCCACTCTGCCTCTACACGGAAAATGCTATCCCCTCCCTGCTTCATTTGGCTCAACTACCATCTAGCCCAGGTGGATCCTGCAACCCCACCTATGCTCCAACCAGGGACTCTCTCTACTAGTCTGCTCACTGCCCTTAATTCACTGGGCTTGCATACCTTCCCTCCCCAGCAATCTCCCTCCTGCAAGTGGCAGCATCATGCAAACAAAGCTCTGTACTCAAGAAACATTAATTATCAAAAGCTCAGTGTTGCACCTAAAACCCTAAGAGAAGTGTGTACCCTTTCCACCTACCAGAGGCACCGGCCAGCTATAGCTAGCACCTGACCCAGAAATTATAGAAACTTCCAAGCCCACAACACATCAGGCCTCCAACACACACCCATTCCTGGGAGCTGAAGTGGGAGCTGGGAGCAGTGCTTTCCATCAAGCTACTTGAGGTGCCCAAAGACCCTAACAAAAGCAAATGTTAGATACCAGTCCCAGCTGTTCTCAAGTCAAAACAGCTGGGATGGAGATGCAAGGTGCTAAGGCTCTACAAGAGAATGGAGCAGCAGCAACAGTGATGGATATAGATTGGCTGAGCCTGGCCCACTACACCAGCCGCCTATCTAGGGCTCCTCAGGCCTTGCCAAGCCAGCCCTATGAGGGACAAGCCACTGCAAATGTCCCAAAACAGAGACAAGAAGAAGACAGGCAACTTCCTGATGCTACTTCGTTCTTTTTGATAACACTGCTTAAATTTTGAAGACATAGCTTGCAAGCCAGCCACAGTCCCCAGGGCTTCACTCATTTGATCACCAGCGTGGCCTGGGAGCTCATCTGCGTCTGGAACATCGGCGCCCGGGAAGAGGGCACGGCAGCGGCACAGCTGGGGAAAAGGGGTGGGCAGAGCCTGGAGGAGTCTTTGTCTCTGGAAGCTGGATTCTCCAGCGTCCCAGATGCACAGCAGCACCACTCACAAGCACTTCGGATCATCTTTCAACTGCGTCTCGGCCATAATCCGTTAGATAATGGAAGCTCTATTTCGCATTTGGCCGGGGCTGATCACCCCTGAGAGAAACTCAGTGACACCCGTTTGGACTCTGCGTTCAAAGGGCTCCGCGGCTCCCGACACAGGGTGCGGCTCCCCCGCTTCCAGAGACCTCCCCCCCCCCCCCGGTTGCAAGTCCTTCACCAGGCAAGACTCAGCTCAGCGAAAGGTTGGAAGGGAACAGCACCCTCTGAGTAATCCCGGAGCGGCCTGATGCCGCAGCGCCCACACTCACCGAAGATCTCCCGCGAGTACCGCTCTGCACACACGCCACGGCTGAGCTCCTTCAGGCCCACGCGGACTTTGAGCTGAAGTGGGGCTCCGTCCGCAAAAGGGGAGCCCCGTTTGGGCATGGCCTCGAGGCCAGTGGACGCAGAGCGCCGCGGCCACCGCCCCTACGTCACAGCAGCGCGCCAAGTGTTGGGCGCAGGATAGGCTGAGAAGACATTAGAGGCGGGGATTGTGAGAGACGCGGCGCAGGATAGGTCGAGTAGGTTGGAGGCGGGACTCAGCGCGCGGAAAAAGACGAGGGGCTGAAGGTCAGAAAGGAGTGGCGGGAAGAGACTTGCACTCCGCGTTACTCGGGATAGGCTGTAGGCTAGATATAGGCGGGACTTGTTGGGGTTGCGGCATGGCGCAGTACAGGATAGGCCGAGACTAGGTCAGGGGCGGGACTTATGCGTGCCCCGGCTCGGGATAGGCTGAGCCTGTGAGTAGGGCCCGGCCTGCCCGCTCGGGAAGGCGGTGGCTGTGTGTCACTGTTTAGGTCCTGTCTCTCCAGCAAAACTGGTGATAGTCTTGGTTAACAACCCCGAAGTGTCAGGGCGACACACGTGGTCCTGGCTCTCTACCGTGACGGCTCTGAGCCGCTTCCGCTGGTCCCACGGCGTTGCCCGCGGCCCCCCTAACGATTCCTGAGCGTCCGTGTTTATTTAATGCGGGTCGAGGATTGCTCAGGACGTCCTTGTCGTGGCTTCCTCGGACTTGGCCTGAGGTCTCTGCAGCGCCTTTGCCATCGCCAGCCCTGCCTCGCGGCTCTCCTGGTTTGCTCCTGGATGTTTACTGGAGCCTTTCCCGCTCCTCCCTAAGGCCGTGTTCGCACAGGAAGCTGTGAGCGCACCGGCGGATGCCCCTTGTGGCTCTTGTCTGACCTGTGGCCAGGTTTCTCTGACAAGCCAGGCAGTCTGGGAGCGCTGGCGTGGGTGTGCGGGTCAGGTGACACACAGGCAGAAGCTCACACGGGGACACGAAACCTGTTTTATTTACTTGCCCAGGACACTCAACCACTGGGCACCATCCCCTGCCCTTCTGTAAATTCTTTTTAAAAGCATTTTTTTGAGACAGGGTTTCAAGTAACTAAATTGCCAGGTGTGACTAAAACTTTTTTTTTGTAATTTAACTGGAACTTGTGATCCTTTTGCGTAGCCTCCCGTAGCGCTGGGACTACTGGTGTGTGTCACCACACCTTGCTCCAAGGCTGTTACAGACCCAAGTGGGCAACACACCTGGCAGGGCCAGCAGGCTGGCAGTCCATGACCCAGGCCCAACCATCCAATAGGGGCAGAGTCCCCTCAGCCAATGCCTTCATTGGACTCATGGGTGTTACCCAGGCAGGTGTCCCTGGGAGTTCTAAACTAGGCTTGGGCTGGCTCCTGCCACTTGAGAAGCTCTCCTGGAAGCTCTCTTTTTCCCTCCCTTGCCATATTATACAAGGAAGTAATTCCCAGGAGACCCAAAGAACTGATCCTGCTTCTCTGTCCCACCCTAGGCCCCGTCCTGGACTCCAAGCCTTTCCTGTGTTGCTGCTACTACAACATGCTTCTGTCTGTGAAGCCTCCAACGCAGTACACCGTGCAGTCCTGGGCCTGCCCACCTCTTCCTGGGCCTGCCTACCTCTTCCTTTGGCCTTGAGGTACTCTACCAGTGGCAGCCAGCTTATGTACAGGACAGGATTTCCTCTTAGGAACCTGCCCCAGGCACACTCTGGCCATGAAGAGTGACCACCTCTCAGGGCTGGAAAGCAGCAGGGCAGGGTCAAGGTGAGCGCAGAATGGCCACACACTCAGTGGCTCCTGGACATGTTTATTATCACATGACTCCAGATGGACACACTGTGTGACAGTGTGTCACACAAGGCCTCTGTTTTGAGCACTTAGGCTCATTTGAAATAGCACAGTTTTTAAAACTGTACACAGTGCTGGCTTTCAGATGTTTAAAATCATTGTAGTATTCAATGAGTGGAGCTGAAAGCTTCAGTGGAAAAATAGAAATACAGAAAATAATTTTCAGATTGTTTCCAGTGTAGTTTGCGATGTCAAGGAACATGTCTGCAGCTGCTCCCGAAGGGATACGGCTGTGGCCTGGGGCGTCCACTCCACTGGGTCTTAGAACAGCTGGATCATGGACTCTCTGGACTTGCCAACACCAACCCATTTGACTGAAAGGGCAACAGAGGGTGGTCAGAGTGTACCCGGAGCAAAGAGCCCATGAAGGAACAGTTTTGTGTGATATAATTCACCTTTCCAAATGGAAAGAGCTGTAAACTTTAGATTACAAAGGCAGTGCCTGAGAAGGGGCCCTGGTCTTGCCCCGGAGATGAGCCACTGTGCACTGTGTCACCCTTACGGTGTCTGGCATGCAGGGAGGACCATGGAGGGGAACGGGCACCCACCTGCCACACCCACGTGGTTCTCCACAAACCGCACGTAGTTCTGAGCCTGGGGGGGCAGGTCCTCCCACTTCCGGGCACCTGTGGTGTCCGCATTCCAGCCAGGCAGCGTCTCGTACTCTACTTCAACCTTCTGGAGTATTTCCTGGTTAGCTGGGGGGACAGACAGGTGCGCGGAGTCCCACAGTCCCTGTGTCTGTGCAGGGGCGTTGCTGCTGATGGGACACTAGGCAGCTGGAGCCGGTAAGGCAAGGAGCCTTCTGGGTTTGCTCAGTGTTTGGCAGTGAATCAGGAATGGCCAGGGTCTGAGCTCCCTCCAGACCTGGGGCTCAGACAGCCCACACACATTCACCAAAGGTTTCTGTGGATGTCAGGCTCTGCCTGGAACCAACCCTAGGGGACTAGAGTCCTGAAGCATTAAGGTACCCTTGAACACCTATGACCCGCACCTGGGAACATCAGCTCCCTCCCAGCAGGGACCCTGGGCCATGCTGACCACCCCTACTAGTGGGAGGTCCTGGAACAAGTGGCCCCTTTGAAGGGACAGCCACAGGTACACCCCATGTGCCGAGCCACAGGGACTGCCAGGAGGAGACTGGGTCTCCGTGATATGCCCTCTCCAAGGCCAGGGTCAGGGTCAGGTCATCCATACCCCAAGGGTATGGATGACTCCCACACCACAGGGGCACCTCTGCGTCTACCCAGGTCTGTGTGCAGGTGTAAAGCAGGGGAGATGTGTCCATAACTGCAGAGGAGGCTCTTGGGGGAGCAGGTCAAACACGAGCATGGTGCAGTGCCAAAGGCACGTTCCAAATGCACAAGACGGGGAATCCGGGAAAAGAACATTGGTATGCTCTTCAAAAGAAAGGACGGATAGCAGCTAGTGGCGGGAACCTGTTGGAGCTTAAATGTTTCCCCAGGGGTGGGGATAGAAGGCAGTGGTTAGTGAATGTTCAGCATGGGTGGGCTCTGGGTTCCATCCGTCCTCCTCCTAAAAGTAAAAGAAATCTAGCCATGAGGCATGTTTTCTTGGTTGAAATAGTCATCTTTCCATCTGCAGAGGGCTTTGGGTTTTCCAGAACCATCCCTTCCACTAACTCACAGAATCCCACTTCCAGGAGGTGAGCCTTTCAGGGACCCCCAGGGTCCTCCCAAGTGTCCCTGAGACCAGTCAGTCCTGTCCAGGAGCCTGTCAGAGGCCCAGGCCAGGTGGCGCAGGTCGTGGGAGCAAAGCACTTGTGCTCCCCATCCCCCTCTCCTGAGGCCCAGTGGGCAGGCAAACGCTGGCTCTTGTCACATACCTGGGAAGTAGGGGATCCTCTTCCCGTTGAGCTTGTATGCAATGCCAACTTTAATCTCACTCAGGACATCCAGGATGTCCAGCTTGGTCAAGGCCAGCCTGCCCAGAAAGCAAGGGGTGAGGGATGCAGAAACGGCCCACACTCTTTGATTTGGTTCTCACCCTTTCGCTTTTCATGTTAACCGTGAAGCCTGGGTGACCCTGGAAAACTGGTCTCCAGAGGTGACAGGGCAGGAATGCCTGTGTGAGCCTGAGTCATCTTGACTGCCCAGCTCTCTGTCTTAAGTGCATGGCCTGGAGCCTATCTTGTGACTGCAGCTTCCTCCTTGTCGTTTGCAGCCCCATCTGCCTGAGGCTTGGCCCCATCTGCCCACAGCATGGCCCCTGGGGTCCCAGTGTCCCTTTCCTCTCCTTGAGGCAGCCGGTGTCACGATGGCAGCTGCCTCCGCGTCTCTCCTCTGTGCCACCCCTAGGTTAAGGCCTCTGGGTTTTCCTGTCCTTTCCCCTTTTCTGTCTCCCCTCCCTCCATGGAGGCCCCAAGCGCGGTGGGCCTCAGGGATGGGTTCTGATGGGCCTGAGCCAGTGGTGGTGGTGAGCAGGCAGTGCTGTCCAGTGCCACCTGACCTGTGTGTCTGAGTCTGGTGTCACAAACCCCAGGCTGCACAAGGGAAACAGGTCAGCGACCCTGGACATCACAGGCTGGCCCCGTGGCGCCTGTGCTGCTTGTGTAAAGATGGTCTTGGAACCTGCCCACAGCACTGTGGTTAGTCTGGATCCTGCAGGGACATGGGGAACATGCAGCTCACAGCCTCGGCCTGTCTCCCAGGAAAGTCAGTCCAGAGACGCCAGCTATGGTGAAGCGGGGTCCTTCCCAGCAGCGTGGGGCACACGCCCCGGGGGCCCACAGAGGTCCTTGGGGGCCTTGGCATCCTTCCCAAGGGCAGTTAACCTGCCAGCACCAAGAGGGGCACCTCCACACTCTGGTCCTAGCGCACTGACACCCTCTGTGGCTCCCTTACAGGCAGGGATCCAGTCTCTGGGGAGTCACAGGCAGCCTTTCTAGAGGAGGGTTTTGTGTACTTCCTAGGGTCTTACTCTGCCACTCCTGCTGGTCCAGGACGGCTGTGATGCTGCCCCCCCCCCCCCGCTGCATCTTCCTCTGCTCCTCTGAGCCCCATCCACAACATGGCCCTTCTCCAAATCCAGGTCTCTCAGCTCGGACACCACTGCTGGACCCTGGGCACGAGGATGAGTGGACGCCTGCCGCCCACCTCCCCCAGCCCCCCGGCAGGTGTTCCATGGATCCTGAAGATGAACCTAGCGGCCATACTCAGAGCGCAGGGCCCTGCTGGACACACTTGGCCTGGACTCCGGGCCACACTGTGCCGGCATCGTCGCCTTCCAGAACCCCAAGCAGGGATTCTGTAGCTGGATTTGTCTCCCACCTACTCATGACCTAGTATGGGTTCTTACAAGGCCAGGATACCACTGCACAGCACTAGGCTTGCTGTGAGCCCCGTGTTGGTCTCCAGAGGGAGATGCAAGGGCCCCACACAAGGACACTGTGGCTTTCAGCCCTAGAATGGCCACTTACGCAGTGAAGCCATTGACCATGTGCGCGTATTTCAGGGTCATCAGGTCCAGCCAGCCGCAGCGCCTCTTTCTGCCTGTGGTCACCCCCCACTCATGGCCGCGGTTCTGCAGCAGGTCTCCAATTTCCTGCAGAGGCAAGAGGGTACCCACGTGGCTCAATGGGACCCACATGCCTGGCGTTCTCTGGGCTTGAGTCCCCTCTTCTCTTCTTTCTGCAGCCTTCCTGGATTCGGAGAATTTCTGAAGGTGCACTCCTCACATGTCGCCCCTGTGGCCTCTACATGTGTGTCCCTAGCAGCCACACTTGATGTGGCAGTGCCACCCAGGAGCCCCTGGCTGCACCAGGGAAACAGGTCAGAGACCTCAGACATCATATGGTTGGCATGTGACTCCTGTGGTTCCTGTAGAAAGATGGGCTCAGAACCTGCCTGGCAGCCCTAGGTTAACTCTGGACCCAGGAGGGAGTGATCTGGCAGGGCAGAGCCTGCTCCCACAGTGTGGCTAGTGGACAGGGGGTCTTTGTATGTTGTCCACCCCTAACTACTGCTGAAAAGCCCTGAGCCTCTCTGTGGTCTGTGGGGAGGCCTAGAGCTCAGAACTGGGCTTTCAGCCCTGTCCTAGCTTGGCCTGGGCCACAGCAGAAAGCCCAAACAGGACCAAGCCAGCCCAGCCACAAGGCGAGAGCCAGGGAGGCTCTCAGCGTCCCATCTGAGAGGAGGTGACCCTTGAATTGCCCTCTTGAGGGTATCTTGAGGGGCTTCCAGTCAAGGCATACTTCTGGGGTCACAGGGTCCAGGAGACACATGCCCACACATGCACCCTGGTAGAAGCAAGCTGATCTCCAGCCCTCTTACTGTGTGCACGCCTGTGCTGGGGAGCTGGTGCGGCTGAGCAGGGTCCCTGCAGCCCCGCCCGCAGCCCAGGCTGGGCACTCACGTTGATTTGCTCTGTGGGGAAGGCCCCGATGCCCACGCGGGTGGTGTAGGCCTTCACCACGCCATACACATCGCCTATGTTCTGGGGTGGGATGCCCAGGCCCGTGCACACGCCACCCACTGTGCAGTTGGATGACGTCACAAAGGGGTAGGTCCCTGTGAGACAGAGCAGCCACGGGTTGGGGCTTCATCCGACCCTGCAAACCTGGGCCCAAGACGCCTCTCAGCAACAGGCAGGGGCGAGACCCAACCCGCAGGAAGTACCGTGTGCAGGGCCATGCGGCGCACATAGCAGTGTGGGGGCCAGGGCAGGAAGGAGCAGGTTGCTCCCAGTGTGGACCAAGATGGCCCAGCCACCCTGGGGTCCACTGCCATACCTGTGGGGCTGAGGACAGCCCAAAGGCTTCATCTGCAACTCCACCCTTCCCTTCTCCCTGCCCTGCGGAAGCCGAGAAAGCTGGGAGGGTGGCACTGTGGCTGTGGAAGAGGCTCAGCCCACTGCCCCTGGCATCCCCACAGGCACCTGGTTCCCAGCACATGCAGAAGGCTGTCGGGATCCGAAACCAAGGACAGGGCAGGGATGTACCAAAGTCAATGTCGAGGAGGGCAGCGTTGGCGCCTTCCACCAGGATCTTCTTGGGTGCGCCGTGCAGTGCCTCATACATGAAGTAAACCCCATCTCGGACCATGGGTCTGATCCGCTCAGCAAAGCCCTGCAGGGACCACGCCAGCCATTGGAGATGGGCTGCTCTGAGAAGTCCACATGTCACAGCAAGGGAGGGGGTGACTTGCCAACCCCTAGGGGAACCCAACTTACCTTGAGTCTCTTGAGTTGACCTTCGATGTCTATCTCCAGGCTGGGGAACATGGACTGGTGCTGGTGGGCCAAGTTCTTGAATCTGTGCAGGTGACCTTCACTGTGACCCCCAGTTCTGATGGTCACATAGGACTTTGTCCTGGATGATCCCAGCCCCCCTCCCTAACCACAGATGTCCTAGTACCTGGCGGAAAATTCATCAAAGTCCGACAGCAGGTCGCAGATGCGGAGGCCTGTCCGGGCAGCCTTGGAGGAGTAGGTTGGTCCGATTCCCTTCTTGGTGGTGCCGATGCTGAAAGATAGGACTGGGTCTTGGTGAGGACACCTGGCCCTCACCAGGGCATACTGCAGCCCTGCCAACGCTGCAGAGCCGAGAGCAGCCTGTGGATAAAGGTCAGGCAGGGATAAAGGTCCCAGGAGCCTCCCTGAGGTGACACCTAGGATGCCACATGTGGGGCTTTGTGAGGTTCCTGGGCTTTCAGGAACACAGTGCAATGCTCTGCATCCCAGCTGTAGCCCTGTGCCCAGCAGTGCCCTTTCTGCCTCCACTGCTCTGCCTTGGGTCCCCCTCCCTGGGTAGTGAGGATGTCACTCTTGAGATTGGCAGCTGCTGCTTCCCCCAGAGAGACCCACAGGCTGCTTGCCATCACCACCCTCACTGGCCATGTGCGTGTGTGACACGAGGCCAGCCGTGAGCCGTGTCTGCGAGTGGGTAGCTGTGAGGCTGGTGGCCGGCGGCAGTACCCTCCTGTGAGCCACCTCTGCTCTCTGTCAGAGGTCCTAGCAGACATCTCGGAGTGGCCCTGGTGTGCAGGAGCAGGGTGTAGGCACCAGCTGAGTGCTGGCTGGGCAGGGGTGCCAGGCTGCCTCTGTGCTTCTCCTTTCCCCAAGGCCCTTGTGTGCAGTCAGCGCGGCCCAAGCTGTGGCAGCGACAGTGGGGGCAGCCAGCCAGGGCAGTGTGGGGCCGAGAGAGGTGGGCTTCCAGAACGGCACAGTCCTCAAGTGGAGGCCCCCGCCATGTGGGACTGAATGTGCCCAAGGCCACCACCTGTAGGCCCGAGATCAGGGGGTGGTGGGACTGTACTTACTTCTTCCCCTCCTGCACTTGGCGCTGGACTTCCTGCAGTCCGTCCACCGCCTGGTGGAAGTCGAACACTGCCGACACATGGTGCCAGGGGGTGGGAGAGAAGCAGGGGCAGAGGTCTGTGCCGGCACCCAGCAGCCATGTGCCATATCCCAGGAAAGGGGTTAGGGTGAGTGTGACCCCTGGGCACTGGGCAGGAGCAAAGCTGGGATTCCAGAACTCGGGCTCCACACTGTTCCATGCAGGCATGACTGTGCATGACTCCGGGCCTCAGTTTCCTTGTCTAAATGGCACTCTCACCCCTGACCCAGATTTTTGGAAAGGGTGAGGAACAAGTATTGGGGCTGTGTGGGACCAGGCGGGTTGTGGGTTCAAAAGCTCACCAAGGTGGGCCCGGTCCGAGATGATGAGCCGCTTCTCCCAGTCCTTCAGACCTACAGGGACAGGGCACATAGGGGTGGCGCCCACAGGTGACCTGTGTCCAGCCCAGGTAAGCTTGCCCAGCTCCCGTTAGGGTGAGTGTGGGGTCAGGCGGCCAAAGGGGCCCCCTGTGCTGTGCAAGGGATGATGGTGCTGCCCAAACCACCTCCCCCTGGCCCTTACCCCACAGCGCTGCCGGCCAGGCCACTCAGCCTCCTTTCTGGGTTTCCTGCCTGCCCTCCAGGTGGACCCTGCTCTGTCCAGGGAGCCTCCGCCTCTCAGCTGCCTGCCATCAGCACTGCATGCTGCAGGGCAGAGTAGGCTGTAGCTCCAGGACCTACCTTTCTTCTCGTTCTTCTCTGCTTCTTCAAACAAGCCTGGCAGGTGGATGACTACTCCGTTGCCTGTAATACATGGACAGGACATGTGACTGAGCCATGCCACAGAGCTTGGGAAGCCATGTTTGCTCCAGCCTGCACCTAGCAGGCCAGGCCACAGCAGCCAGGAGCTGGGGGCAGCTGGGTGTCCATCAGGGTGAGCTGTGGACCATGCATGGCCATCATACAATGCAGCTCTATACAGCCTTGGCAAGGAAGGGAATCCTGACGTGTGCTGCAGTGTGGGTGAGCCCTGGGGACATGATCCAGGTGACATCAGCCAGATGTGAGGTCCCTGGAGTCGCTGACTCAGAGAAGAAACAGGGTAGTGGTCAACAGGGGCTGGGAGGGTAGGTTGCTCAGGGGTCAGAGCTGCCATCTGGGACTGTGGCAGGCTCTACAGGTGGATGCTGTTACACTGCAAGGCACTCAGTGCCCTGGCATTTACCCAAGCAGCCGAAGACAGATGTGCATCCCAGGGCCGCACAGTACCTTTGGCAGCCTTATCCTGACTGTCCAGCTCGGGCACATCCCTTTCTGCATGGCTGAACAGAGGCACATCTTACCATGGAGAGGCTGCACACCATGTAGCCCTGCTGTGGCTGGCGAGGTCAGGCAGGTCAGGGGTTTGGACTGGCTACAAGTCTCCCCACCACCAGATCTGACCAGCACAGTGTCTCAGTCAGTGCCAAGGGCTATGGTCTCAACCTAGACTTGGAAACAGGCCAGTTTTCTACCCATGAGTGGGCACTGCATGGCTGTCCCCTCTTCCTAGCCCTGCACAGGGGGGACTGTGACACCACCAGAAGCCACTGTGGCTGCCTCTGCCCACTCATTGGACTCCTGTTCCATGAATGCCAAGTGTTGCCCATCCTAGGTGGCAAATAAAGGCCAACTGGACCTTTAAAGTGATATGGCTTTACCTTTGACACTGGGAAAGAAAACCACGAAGACAGCAAAATGATCAGTGGCCAGGGCGAACAGGTGGACACAGGGTATTTTAAGACACAGGGTATTTTAGTGTCCTATATGACACTAATGGTGGACACGCATCACTGCACTGTCCACACCCACCAGCCCCAGGCAGAGGCCTGATGTGAACTTTGGGTGGGGCGTGGCAGCGGCTGCGCGCCTCCAACGTAGTGACGAGGTGTGATGGTGGAGGCTGCCAGGAGGGGGCCAAGCCCCTTGGAGTGTGCTGTACCTGCCAGTTTTGCTGTGAACCTAAAACTACTCTGAGAAACAGCCTAGCAGAAAACACTCAAAATTGATTTCAGTGGTAAAGCTTACCAAGTATGTCTTGCAAGTACAAAAAAAAAATTTTTTTTTTGATAAAAACACCACTGCTGTGGGCAGCTCAGCAGTGGCCTGCACGGTGGAGGGCAGGCAGTGACTGGCAACCCCATGGATCTTCAGTGATAAAACAGTGTGAAGCTGGCTTTGGGGTGCAGACCCCTAGGCTGCCACATTGGGGGGGATTTTATGATGCAAATTAAGCCTCACTGAAAGTGGTGTTTACCAAAACAGCCCCTGCCAAGCCCAGGACCCACCACAGCTCCGAAGGGGTTTCTTCCCATCATATAAGCTAAAGTGGGGTCTGCAGGGGGTTCCATATGGGCAGAGAGGGAGGGAGACCCTCCCGAGGTCACACAGCTTGCCAGGGTGCATCCAGGCTGAAGGGACCCCTCAGATTACCAGGAGCCCAGCAGAGACCCCCGCTTGAGGAGCCCCTTGGCTCTGCTGCCACACATGCTTTGGCTGAGGGAAGTGGAATGTCAGGCAAGCAGGGAGTGACCTGGAGATTGCATAAGTCACAGAGAGCAGGAAAGGTCACCTAAATGCCACAGTGTCTGAAATAACCACGTGGCAGAGGTGGCTTCACGGGGCGCCCGTCATGCTGGCTAGAAGCCCACTCATTAGTGCTCCTGGTGACCATGCAGCCTGGCTCTGGCCTGGCTCTGACCTGGCCCCAAGTGTCCAGGCTGACGGCCCTCCTGGGAAATAGCCAGGGTGCAGCCGGACAAGACCAGCCCTCAGCTGTGCCTGCCTCTGCTCCTGTACAGTAGGCAGAGGCCCCAGGGTACAACTGGGCTGCTCCATGCCTGCACTTCCTGACGGTCTGAGGCTTAGCTAGGTTTCAAGTGGGCTGGGCAGAGCCAGAGGGAACAGGCCAGAGGGGACCTGGTGGAGACTGTGAGCCAGGACAGCCCCCTGGCCCTCTGAGGGAGCGGGGAGGGGGACAAGATCCTGGGAAACATAGTGGCTTCACCGCCCAAGGCCACAAAAGGCAACAAGTGGCTGTAACAAAGTCAGCTGGGAAGGACATGCACAGAACCTGAAGCATTCAGGGGACAGAGGTCCCCATCATGGACAGGGCAGGGACGGACCCTGGGCCCAGGAGCCTGGCAGGTGGCTAGGGTCCCACAGCAGGGACCCCACTGGACCCATACCGCCAGCCGTGCTTGTCTGTCCACCAGACCTCAGTAAAAGGCACACCAGGGGCTGGACTCGCGCAGGCACATGTGGAGGCTGAGCTCAGGGCCTCTGGTGCCCTCAGACGGAGGTTTGCCTAGACTGTAAAGCTGGGAAGCACCTCCCCCCAGCCTGTACCCTGCGTGGCCTGCGGCTGGCTGTGTGGATGACAGCGGCTCCTGGTGTCTGGGTGGACCACACACAGGGTGTTCCTGGGTCTGACTCCAGCTCACACTGCGGTGCTGGGGTGGCAGGCAGGGGACACTCACCGATGAAGGACACCGCCTTGGTGTTGATGATGCCACTGGGGAGCAGGTGGAAGTCGTACTCCTTGCCATCCACCACCACGGTGTGGCCAGCATTGTTGCCTCCCTGGGGACAGAGGCTTGGTTGACTATGTCCTCAGGCTCCCCAGGCAGCAAGAGGGCCCCTGGGGTGGCCATCACTGGCACAGGGTGGTTCCCAGGCCCTGGCTTCCAGCCCCGCAGTGCAGGGGGCTGGTGGGCATGTGGGGCTGGGAGCCTTGACCCTGGGGGACGATGGACAGGAATGTGGCCCAGGCAGGAGGACCCTGGGGGCCTGGGAAGGTAGCGTCTCCCCTCTTAGTCCACCACCCCAGAAGCTAGGCTGGGTACAAGGTGTGATGGCACCTCTTGAGCCCCTGCACAGGGTCTTTGTGCCTCTGCCGTGTCCACATCAGCAGCCTCCTCTTTCCTCTTGCCCCCACCTGGCCTACCTGCCCCAAGACCTCTATCCAACTGAGCCTTGTCATCTGCAGACAGCCCCACCCCACCCCACCCTCTTCTGCCCACCCAACTGGGACCCTCAGTGCTGCTGTCTGTTGCTCACAGCGTGCTGGGCAGACTCCAAGCCTCCCGGTCCTCTGCTGCAATAGCTGGTGGAGTCCGTGATGCTGGGGACCCTGTTGGGGCCTCACTTCTGCCAGTGATCATGGAACAGCAGGGCTGGAGCTCCATGCATTTAGTCCCCTCCCGAGCTCCAGCCCCTGACTGCGCCCCCCACTCGGGAGATGGGCCTGCTAGAAGCCGACTCTGCCACATGGCCCCAGACCTCTCGGCACTAGATTCTAAATGCACAGGTGAAGGGTGAAGGCCTGTCCCAGGCTTCTCCCCGCAGCTTCCCATGCATGACTACACCGATGACGAGCTGCCCCCTGCCCCGGAGGTGGGAATCTCCCCAGGCCCACCAGCCTGGTCATACCGACTGCAGGGGTCCTGTCCAGGCAGGGCTGACTGCACGGCAGTGCCCACCCCCTCATCAGGGCATCCCCAGCCACCACTGGGACATGTGGCTGTGGTTGGACATGGTATGGGTGATCCTGTCCGCAGATGATGGGGTTGCTGAGGGCTGTGGGGAGACAACGTGGAGGGGACCTGCATGGACCCTCATGGAGAGATATACAGGCAAGCTGTTCCAGAGGGCTGCCTGGGTGCAGGGAGACAGAGACCTGGGGGGCAAGAAGAGGAGGAAGGAGGAGTTGAGGGGTCCCCAACCTCACTGTGGAGCTAGGAGACCCTGCATCCCTTCCTGGCCTTGTGGGTACAGCCTGTAGGGATGGGATAGGCCCACAGTGGACCTGCCTGCTGCCTTCTGTGCTCTGCTCTCGCCTGGCACACGCAGCTTCCCTCGGTTCACGAAGCGCCTGCATCCATGCCCTGTGTCCACCTGGGGCTAAAGTCTCCAGGGACAGATGGGTGGGGAAAAGGTCCCAAGAAAAGATGAGTCTGGCAGAGCCAACCCAGCCCCATCCCAGTCCACAGCCTCCTCCCTGCAGTGGGGAGACCTCAGGGACAATGCAGGGGCTGAGCACTGCCCACCAGTGCAGCTGGGCGAGGGAAGCCCCAGGAGGGTGCCCACCGCCCTGCCCTCCTATGAGGGTGCCCGGGACCAGGCCAGCTGGCAGAAGACACAGGAACACACTGCCTGTGTTGAGGTAAACACAGGTGCCTGGGAACAGTGCCATATCACAGGCCAGAGGACATCCCATGACCTTGGGCCAGTGTCTACTGTGGGGCCCAGGAACAGGGCACTCAAGGGAGGCACTGGCCACAGGGCTTCCAGCAGCCCTTCTGGCCAAGGTGCCTTCCCAAACATCTAGTCTATGGCTCTCCCCAGTGAGCTCTTGGAACGCCTGGTGCATGGGGACAGCCAAGAGCTGGGAACAAGATGCCCTTGTGGGCTTCAGCCTGGGGCTCCCAAAGCAAAAGGCACACAAGGACAAGCCCAAGGGGCATAGGGGCTGGTAGGCAAAGGTCGCCAACCTGGAGAAGGTATCTTAGGCGGAAGCCAGGTGGTACCCTGAGCCCTGCAGTCTCTGTCGCTCCACCCAGGCAAGCAGGCTCAGGCGCTGTGCCCAGAGCCAGCTCCGGTCACACAGGTATTACCCTGGCTGTAATGGGATGCGAGGGCCTGCATGCTCTGCCCAAGATGGCCACATCTTCACGTGTTGTCCCCAGAGGCCTCACTGTGGAGAAGGCTGGCCTCAGCTGCAACCCTGCTGTGGGCCTGGCCTGCCTAGATGCTGGGCCTGAGTTGTCCTGCCCACAGCACCTATGTCACCTCCTTCCCTCCCTCCGGTCCCAGCCAGCCAGTTGTGAGTCCAACACCCTGCTCCTGCCTATAACTGAGTACTCAGAACTCCTTCACTCCACTCTCCCTCAGAAGGGCTGACGGAGAGCCAGGCTGGGGTCTCAGATGGCCCTGCCCAGGTGCAGTTGCCACCACAGTGGCCATCCACTCTGGTCAGCATGCTTCTGTGTGCAGGCACTGGTTAGCTGCAGAATGCAGGGCAGCGATAGTCTAGCAGAGCACAGACACTGGAGCTCAGGGAAGACTGTCCCTCAGCCCACAGCAGGATCGTCCAGGAGGTGCTGGCCCAGACTCATGGTGGCTCCCATAGGTGGGTTGAGGCCGTGGCCATTGGGCTGGGCCACACGCTTTGGATGGTCACGTGGGCAGCACACCACACAACTCCAGGGGCCACTGTCACTGGACGCTGAAGTCCCCCTACTGCTTCTTGCCCTCAGGTCAGCTGTTACTCAAAGACCTCAGCTCTTAGTGGCTGGGGGTTTAAGACCTGACTTTTCCCTATAGGGACCCATGACAACTCGATTTTGCCCAAGACGTGGCTCAGCCCTGACCCTAGCTCTGTGCTTGCAGGGATGCCTTCCTCCAGCATGTGGCAGCTGTGGCCCTCAGTGTGGAACCCGAGGGGCCAGTGTGTGCCCCACCACTGCCCTTCCTGCTGTCAGGCTCCTGCTAGTTTCAGTCTCCCCCCTTGGCACTTGGGGTTCTGACAGCCGAGACCCACTGCGTCTGGTGTGCTCCTCCACGTGGCCGTCTGTCCTCTGGATCTCTAGACACAAAGTCTTCCATCTGCAGAGGCCCTATCAGCCCACAGCAGGCCGGAGCTGCACAGAGAAGCCAGAGCTCTGGTGCTCCCAGCATGGGCCAGCAGCCTCTTCCAGGTCAGAGCCTGGACAGCATGCTGAGATGTGCCTCCTCAGCCCAGCCTCCCCTCCCTGCCAGCCTTTTGCCCCCACCTGGCCCCCTCCCACGCTGCTTACACCCAGACCTCCTGGGTGTACAGGAGGGAGTACAGGACCTGGGAGTACAGGACCAGATCACTTGGAGTTGCCTGGCAGGCAGCAGCGGTTGGGTGCCTGCCCATGGGCTGTGCTGGCCTAGCTGGCTCCGCCCTGGGAACGGTGAGGCTGTGTGTGTCAGCCAGGCGGCCCTGAGGTAAAGGCTGTCATGCCTGCGGCCCCCACTCTCCTGCTGGCTCTCGAGCTGCCTCGCCCCATGTCCATGCTCCCTTGGCTCCAGGTCACTCCAGCTGCAGCAGAGGCACCTCAGAGGCAGTCCTGCCCTGGCCACCCTGTCCCTGAGCTCTCAAGGGGCATCTGCCATCTGCCTGGTGGGGTGCTCCCCTCCCAGGCCTATGGCTCGAAAGCTGCCCTCCTGGGGTTGATGGCCCTGGCCCCAATTCCTCCATGTTGTGCCTCACTTCTTCTTAGTGTCTCCACTGAGGTTCCCTCCTGGAGGGAAGTGCAGAGCTCTGTGACCACGCAGTGCTGGCTACACATTCATGCTCTGTGGTCACCACCATGGTGGTGCAGGGGCAGTGGGGGACCTGCTTCTGGGAGCATCTCAGGCACTCCAGGGGTCCCAGAGCAGCCTGAAATCTCTGATGAGCCCCTGAAAAAACTCCAGAACCTTGCAAACCAAGGACAGGGCCCCAGGGCACAGAACATCTGCCAGAGAAGACATGCGAGACCCTGAGACCTTGTGCCCACATTTGCAGTCCACCCACAAGACTGCGGCTTCCAGCTCTAGCCTGAGGTTAGCAACCCAGAGACTGATCCCAGTCAGACTGGGCATGGGCATTATTAGTTCGTGGTAGAAACCAAGAGAAAGCCCCATGGGCTCCAGTATTCGGAGTGTCCGAAACCAGCTATCTGCGGCACTCAGAGGAGGGAATGGGTATGATGTGGGTGGGTGTGGAGCCCCTGTTCTGTATCTTCATAGATCACCCAGTTCCCTGCACCCGTGGCATCCATGAGGTCAGGCCCTGGCACTGGCATTGTTGTTTGCCTGTGCATACACATTGTGAGCACAGGCAGCCTTGGGTACCTGGCTGGACCCTCATTCTTGTCATTCTGTGACCTTACCAGGGTGGCACGGAATAAGGTAGAGTGGGAAGAAGCCCTGTTCCAGAGCAGGAAGCTGGGTCCCCAAGCACGTGCAAACAGCGGGGTCTGTCACCTGGAGAGGCGCTCACAGCCTGTGGCACTGGGGTGGTGCCCAGAGGTGGGGTAAGGGTGCAGGCCAGTGCCACTGCACTGCGATGTGGTGTGCAAGGAGTTCCTGGCAAACATCAACATCCGAAGTTTCGTCACCCTCAAAAGTGCTCTATGGGGGCCCCCTTCCCAGGCTTGTCAGCAGGCTGGTGGGAGACATACTTGCGGCTTGTGGTTAAACTAGCAGTCCAGGGCTCCTTCAGCCCGGGAAAGAGTTTGATATTTGTAGGGGTCAGACTGGGAGAGGGGGTGGATGTGACAGGGCTGGCCTGCTGACCCAGGTGAGGGGACAGTGTCAGCAGGGTCCTTCCAATGGGGTACAGACTGTATGGACGGTGCAGGGCAGCACATGGCAGAGGCCTACATGGGGTGGGGATGCCCAGTCACAGAATTGCGGACACGTACCTGGCTACAGCGTCTGTGGGCTGCCCCTGTGCCCAGGGTGAAGGGAGAAAGGACAGGAAGCAGCCCCTCGAGCAGGCACTTTCTTCAGCCCATCTGCAGGTCTGCCCAGGGGCCCCACTCTGTGGGCCAACAGGCTGCGGCCACACCAGAGCCCAGCCTCAGGCCCTGCTGCCAGGGAGGGGCTCCAGTGGGTGCCTGGCGCCCAGGCTCCAAACCCCTCCGGAGCCCCCAAGCAGACACTGTGGGGCTGGCAGCTCACAGGCAGCATGGGTAGGAACCCATGGATAGGGGCAGTGACCCAAGGAACGTCCACCTGGCCTCTGGGCAGAATGCATGCTGGCCGCTGAGAAGGCCCTGCAGCTGGTCAGGCCCTACCCAGGTCCCAAGGACACAGGCTGTGTCTGGCTCCTCCACGGCCCTAGCAGATACTGGGTCACCATGGCCAGAAGTCTGGGCTCTCCCCAGTCAGCTGAGATCCTCCTGGACCCTGATCCAGGTCTCTGTCCCAACCACTCCCCAGTACCCAGGTGCCCAGGAGGTTCTCCCACCCAGCAGGCGGTTAGGATTCTTCAAGCACACTCTGGCCCTAGATCCTTGGGGCTGCAGGAGGAGTGGGGGGCTCTCAGGTTGCCCAAGCTGGGTGCCCCTAGCCCAGGGCGGCCCAGTCACTCCCTGGCACACCCCACCCAACCGAGGATCTGGTGTCCCCAACTCAGCGACTTGTATTTATAGCTCTGGCCGGGCTGCCCCTATGTGAGCGCTGTGAGTGCGGGATTGTGGGCCAAGCACCGAGGGTGATCCCGGGAAGACCTCTCAGGAGCGCTGGGTCCAGGGAGGGGGGACTTGCCGGCGGGGGGAACCCGGGACCGACCCGCACCTGGCAGCGGCTGACGATGTCGGCGTCCGTGGCCAGCAGGTCCACCACTTTGCCTTTGCCCTCGTCCCCCCACTGCGCGCCCAGCACCACGGTCACGCGGGAGCCGGTCGCCGCCGCCTCCTGCTGCAGCCGCCCCCGCTTGACGCCGCCCGCGCCGGGGGGCCGGTCGTTGGAGGCTCGGGTCCCCGACATCCTTGTCCGCCGCGCCGGCCGGCCGCCCGCCCGCGAGCCCGCGCCCGCGCCCGCGCCCCGCGCCCTTAAATGGGCCGCCCCAGGGCGGGGCAGGGCGGTGGCTATGCGCGTGACCCGCGCAGGTCCCGCCCTGCCGCTGCCCGATCCTCGGGGGCGGACCTGCGGCAGGGGGCGCGGTGCCCAGGCCGAGCTGGGCCGGGTCGAGGCCGCCTAAGGGTCCCGCCGCCTTGAACCCGGCCGACTGGCGCCCCCTGAGGCCGCGGAGACGGCGCTGGATGATTGCGGGCGCCGGATGCCACTTTGGGGTCCCTGGTGTGTGTGGGCCGCAGCAGCGGCTTCCAGGAGGCTGGCTCTAGCCCTTCCTGCCCAGCCCCGCGGCCCCGGGTAGGTTAGGGAGCCCGGAGGCGGCGTCGCAGAGACAGCGTGCTTGTGTGTGCAGGGGACAGAGCCTTCCCTTCCATGCTGTTGTGCGTGACCGCTGGCTGGTGGGAAGGTGCCAGGCCGGGGTCACAGGGCCTGGCTCCGGAAGGACGCTGCTACCTGGCGCTGGGGTCGGGTCTCGGGAACACTAGGCGCTGCATGGGTGAGGCAGGGTCAGGATGGTGGCTGGAGAAACCTGGGGTCCCGGAGGAGCTGTGTTCCGATGAGGAGCACAATGAGCGCCCAGCCTGAAAGTCACATGTGATGGAAGTGCTTGCTCTTGTCCTCTTAGGCAGTGCCTAGGGCTTGAGGAGGTGCAGCTGTCTTTCCTGGGGGACCCAGGGCCGGTGAGAGTGAGTGGAGGCTCAGGGACAGGGGGACCGCCTTGACAGTCCCACTGTGGGAACCCCTAGTGGCTGTGTGGGCCAGCACTGACTTCTGGACTACAGGCTGGGGGCAGGGCTTTTCTAAAAACAGCCTGGCTAGGGCCAACAGCTGGGCCCAGCCAGTCACATGGGCCACCCCAAATTAGATCATCCCGCCCAGCAGCAGGCCTGTCACAGGGTGGTGGGCTGTGGTCCTGCCACTGTGACCTGGGTCTAGGGGCTGCTGCCAAGCTGCCAAGTTGCTGGTCAGCTAGTCCAGGGCCACAGCCCCCTTGGAAAATCGCCTTGCAGGTTCTTAAGAGTTAAACCTGGATACAGCATGAGGCCGCCATCCTTTTAGGGACCCACTGCAGTGCAGGGAGTGCAGGTGGATGTGAGGACCAGCACACAGACGCTCATGCCTGGCCACAGGAAGGACCTGCTGGGCGGCAGAGTGAACCAGGGGGCTCGGCCCTGCTCTGGGCTAAACCTGAGGGGCTGAAAGTGCAAGGGAGGAAGCCAGCCCGAAAGAAGTGTGCGGAATGACTCTTCACCTAGACTGAGGAGAAGCAGTGACAACCGGACTCAGTGATGGTCACAGTGGTAGCCATAAACCGGTTTGAGCACCAGGGATGTAACTTAGTGGCATAAGCGCTTGCTTGGCAAGTGTAAGGTCCCGAGTTCGACTCTTGGTACCACAAATAAATGGCTGGAACCGCTGCTGCTTGAGCAGGTGGGTGTGGGTATCTGCCATGTCCTTTCGGTGGATGTGACTGTCCTTTCCTTCTGCCTGTTCTAGTGACCCCAGGCACAAGTGCCTGCCCTCCTACCCACACCACCTCCAGGGCCCCTGGTAGATTCTTGCTGAATGACTGAGTGATGTTCACTTAAAAAAGCCAGCAGTGCCACACTGAGTGTGCTCTGGACTGTGGTGGGCCAAGGAGGAAAGTAGGTGTCCTACAGAAACTCCCAAGGACAAGGGCCTTCTGGGTTTGGTCTCATGCTGGCTGGCCACAGGCTCCTGGATGGTGCTCAGGGAGTTCTAGGGGAAGCTGGCTTGTCTCAGGCAGCTGGGCAGGGCAGACGGGTAGCAGCTCCCAGAGGGGGCTGTGCGGAGCACACCCTCCTGAGGGGCACCTGGGACCCTGTTGCTACTTGAGGTGTCACCTGGCTCCATGACAGTGCCGATCACAAGGACAAAAGGGCCACAGCCCAGATGCCACTAACAATTTTTAATTTCAGGGCGGCAGGCAGATGCTGAGCCCCCACCCTGCCCTTTGCTGTCTCACAGACACAGGTGCTCGTGCTGGGGGCCACCCTGCTGCCTGGTGGGCGTCAGGCCTCACCATCCTGCCATGGAGCCTGAGATGCCCACTGCACATCTGTCTCTTAGTCCCTGCCCTTTGTCATCGTTCTCATTCACCCCATCCACTCACCCATCCCTCTCCCCACGCTGTGAGACGGAAGGTGGGGACTGCGGCCCCAAAGCCCATCCAGTTCTGCCCAACACAATGGTCAGCTGGGCCAGGCTTGCTCTTTATTGGTCGAGTCCTTTCCAGCCTCAGTGGTCCACCCGGGCCTTGGGCAGCTGGTCCTGCTGGGGAGCTGATGAGGTGGCTAGTCGAGGTGCAGGGCCACAGGGCAGCCCCCTGGTTACCCTAAGGGGCTGTGGACACTGCCCATGGCACTGCTGCCAGGCTACCTCAGCCCAGACCTGGAGTCCCTGCACCATCCCAACACACAGCTGCCTCCAAAGCACAGACTCAAAGAGAACTGTCTTTAAATCAAAAACCAGCTGAGGACTGAGTGGGGTGGCACATGCCTGTAACCCCAACCAGGCAGGAGGGTCCCGGTTGGAAGCCAGCTTGGACAACTTATCCAGAGTCTGTCTCCAATATGCATGCACACATGCACGCACGCAAAACTGCCCCAGCTGAGTTGACAGAGGCAGGGCTAGAATGAGGGAGGTGACATCTCCCAAGGGTGAGGAACCTGGGGAGCAGTGTGGGGGTACAAGGCAGGTCACAAGCTGTGTATGTACAGGTGCTGCAGGGGCACCAGGCCTGGGCGCTGGCATCCACAGGGTTCTGGCTGCAACACCAGCAGGAGGCTGAGGCCTGGGCTGGGAAAGGTGCGCAGTTCAGCTCCTCAGGGCCCAGTCCCAGCCTGGTCGCCGCAGGAGCCTCCTTAGTAGCATGTGCAGGCTGCCGCGGTGCCAGGGCCACGCGTCTCTCACTTGGCTTTGGGCTTGGGCCTGAGGCCTGTGGAGCAAAGGAAATGACAAAATCAGGGGCAGCCCTGCTGGGGATAGCGGCCCTGTCCTGTCCCTGCTGCCAAGGCTGTGGTTGGCCCAGTCTGCAGCGACTCCAGGCTGTCTGAGCCATGCCCCTGTGCCCACTGTCTAACCCCAGGCCTTCACCTGAATGCCTGTCTGGCCCTATGGGCACTTGGCCCAGCAACTCTGTGCTCCCTGAAGTATCCTTGGGTTGGGGGGATCTGGGCTGGTAGGGGTCTGGGAGCCTCTTTCCCGAAGAGGCACAGCAAGAATGTAAGCAAAACAAACTGCTAAGAATCTGCTTGGTAGGGCTCAGCACCAGCCTGCTGACAGGAATGGGGCTGCGAGGCCCAAGTGGAGACAGGCCATGCGGCCAGGGCCAGGCACTGCCTAGGAACCAGGAGAGCTGCCTGTCCACACATAGGACACTACACTGACAGCAGTGGGGTGGGGTCCAGGACCCCACGGGCCGCAGCACTTGCAGGCAGGGAGTCCTTGGCCCTGGTGGCCCCATGCCAGGTGGCCATGCCTGTCACCCCAGTACTCTGGGAGGCTGAGGCTAAGTCAGAACCCAGCCTGGGCAACCAAGTGGTTTATTGGTACTTTGTCCTGGAACAAAACGTAAGGAAGGTTGGGGACTCAGCTTAGTGAGAAGGCCCCGGCTTCAATCCCCAGTACCCCAGAAAGACAAAAAGTATGCCCTGTGGTCCCCATTCCAGTCCTGCTTCCGACAGGAGTGACCTCATCTGGGCACCCCGAGTGGGGTTGGAGGTGCTGGGCAGCACAGAGCTTGCGGGCGCCGGGCTCTCTTCCTCCACCCAGGCACCTGGTAGTATCTCAGCCTGCCGGGCCACATGGATGCCCCAGGTCCTTCCCACTGGCTAGGAGGTGCCTGCCTGCACGGTCCTTGCTGAGGAAAGGAAGGATGCCGGCCACCTTGTTCCGGTTCCTCACAGCCTCCTGGGCACATGCTTGGCCAGCACCTTCACCGGAGGGCCTGGCTGTGCCATGGGTACGCACAGGGCAAGGGTCACCTTGGGAAGCAGGGTCGGGTCAGTGAAGCCGCAGGGGCAGAGGACTGTGGTTAGGGCCAAGACGCAGGGCAGGAGCAGCCTCAGCACATCTTCCCCTCCCCACAGAAGCTCCACGCTGTTCCCAAGGCTGCTCCTGCCAAAGCAGAGAAGGCTTGAGGAAGAACTTGAGGCCATGGGCCTTCTCAGCAAGGGCGAGGATGAGCAGGCGTCACCTCCGAGGGCCCCAGGAGCTGTCTGCACCGCGCCCACGGCCAGAGCAAAGCTGGGTTAGGTCCAGGAGGGTGGGCAGCAGGCTCAGCCCAGCGCCCACCACCGTTAGTGTGCGCAGATAGTGGCTGTGTACCTACCTCACTGGACTACACACAGCCTTTTTGTTTTATTATCATCAGAATCAGGGGCAACCTCTGCTTTCAAAGGAAAGAAACGCACTCAGCAGCTCATCCCAGGCGGCCAGAGGGGCTGCCGCCCTCGGGCTCAGGCGCACCACATGGCACCACACCATGCAGTCATGGGCCCTGGGGCTAGGCAGCCCTGTGCAGCCTAGCGTGAGCCTCCCACTCCCTGCTGGGGCTGTGAAAGTGGCAACAATGGGTCTGGGGTGCAGTGGCACAGGTGTGGGGCCCGAAGCTGCCCTGTGATGAAGCGCAGCCTTCCCTGCGTGTGCCACAGTCACCCGCTCTTCTGGACACTCCTGGAGCCTGCAGTGTCCCCTGGGTAAAGGGCAGGACCTGTCACCTGCATGAGGGAGAGGTCCCAAACCCTGCAGGGACAGGAGCCTTGATCATGAGCCCAACACTGGAGCCCTGCTCACCACCCAGAACGGCCCCAAGTTACCCTCCTGGCTTCTAGCGGGGCGCCTCTTCCTCCGCTTGCTTGAGCCCTTCGAGGCCAGGCCCCTGGGGAGGGTACCGGACCCAGAGGAGTCCGTCACTGCGTCCTCGGAGAAGGATTTGTCCAGGGATGTGTCCAGTGCAGATTCCAGGGCTGTGTCCTCCCTGTCTTCATCCCCACCAGGGCCTATGTCCTCTGGCCCTTGGCTTGTGCTGTCTGCCTTGGCCAGGTGGACACCCTGAGAATTTTCGGGGTCTTCGGTGTCCTGGGGCCCTGAACTCTGTGATCCTGGGGGCTCTTTGCTGGAGAACTCCAGGAGTTTCAGTGCGTGGGAGTCTCCCAAGACCACCGGCCAGGCCTCTGTGGAGGGGCAGGTGTTCAGGGCATCCTTGGTGTCCAGGAAATCACTGGCATCAACGTACCAGGAGGAGCGCCGCTCCAGGGGTGGTGGCCCACTCTCCTTGCCATGGGATGCTGGGCTGGGGATCACAGTGTCCACAAAGTCGCAGCCCGGGGGCTCACTGGCCACTGCGGCATGAAGGTCCAGCTCCGGGGCAGGGTCGCTGGTGCCACCAGTGGGGCCCTGCACAGGGTCGCTGGCTGCTGCTGTGAGCAGGGGACATATGAGGTCAGTGAAGGGCAAGGGCCTGCCCAAACCCACTCGTCTGATCCTGCTGAGCTCTGCATTGTCACAGGCCCCCAGTGTAGCTTCCAAGCCTGGGTCCTAGTAGCCTGGGTCCTAGAGTTCTCACGCTGGACACTTAGACCACCCCATTCCCAAGGCCTGGGGAAAACTACCCACGAGTGGGTCTCAAGCCTTGGGGTATCTGTCAACAGGTCACCAACTCCCAGCTCTGCTGGTACCCAGGGGCCAGATAGGAGCCGGACAGGCTGCATGGGGCTGTCCAGGGGCTGGAGAGGGCTGTGCCGGGCCATCCACCCCTGTGCAGACCCCGTCCCCACCATGATGGCAGCTGGGGTTTCCCCTGCCAGGGTGCAGGGGCAAGTAGCACTCTTTTAAGGTCACAGGTCACAGGATTGGAGCAGGGGGAGCCATACAGAGGCAGCAGGCAGGGGCTCACCAGGCTCTGGGACCCTAAGGGGGTCTTTTGAGGCCACCTTGCTGCTCCCCTCGGCTTCCCCTCGGCCGCGGGCCGTCTTGCGCAGCTGGAAGCCCTTCCTGATGTCGGCTAGCAGGGCGTCGATCACACACACCTCCTCCTGCCTCCCTGGCGCCTTCCTTCCTGAGGAGCCAGGGACTCTCAGGGAAATGCTCTGGGGACACAGACCCCAGGGCCCTGGGCAGGACAGGTCCTGGTGGAGGCCAGGCTACAAGTCTTGGGCAGGGAGGAGGTCCCCTGGTCCATGCCCCTGCCCCGCCTGGGCCCAGCCTCACCAGGCTTCCCATCCTTGCCCAGCGGCCTCCGTGCCTCTTCCTCTGCCAGCTGCCGCTTCCTCCTCTCTGCCTTCGCCATCTGCTCCTTTCTGTCCTTGTTCTCCTGCTCAGGCGGACAGGAGCAGTCACCCAGCCCTGCAGCCCCTGGCTGACCACAACCCTGGGCTGTGGTGGCGGCTGCACAGCTGGATCCACCAGCAGCCCCTTGGGGACTGCATGGGGCCACAAGACCCCCTGCTCTCGGGCTGCCCCCTCCCACCTTCAGGGAACACGTGAAGAGGTCCCGGAAGGTCCTCATGGTGCTGAACGTGTCCTCCAGGGACAGCTGCTGGGGGTCTTCGCACAGGTAGTCGGCCAGCTCCAGCTTTCTCTGCTCAATGGCACTGAACACTGCATCCAGCTCTCGGGAGGCTGTGATACTGGTCTGGGGGCAGAGCCTTGGTCAGCACCCCTGGGCAGGGTGGGGAGGCAGCCCTGGGGTGGGACCTCCAGCCACAGGCAGCCCCAGGTCCCCACCCAGCTTCAGGAGTCCCCCACTCTGGAGGCTGCCTCTGTGTCCCTTCCCGCCTGGCTTGTCCTAGGTGAACACCTCCTCCCCGAGCCACCCCAGCTTCGTCCACCAGCTGGGATTCACCCCCACGTGCCTGCAGGCGATGTTTGTACTGCTCCTGCACCTCGGGAATGGAGGCAGACACCTTCTGCTCTGCATCCAGCAGCTTCTTTAGGTTGGTGCCAGCCTCTGTGCGGATAATCTCGACATTGATCCTAAAGGTGCCAGAGCCGAGCCAGAGCTCAGGGGTAGCCCACACCCCACGCCTGGGACCTGGTGCTGTGCTGTGAACTCTGAAGCCAGCCTGGCAAGGGGTCACTTGCCCTCCTGTCTGACTGTCCTTGAGGTCCAGCAGCTCCTGGACTGCAGAGGCATCTGGGATGGTGGAACCTGGCAGGGTCTGAATCAGGTGGCTGTGCCTTTCCAAAGCCCTACCAGGGGTGGGACCCTAGAATGTGACATGGTTGCCTGGACTCGGTGTCCTCTCTTGGGCCTTGTGGCGGCATGACACTGCTTGTAGCTGAGCTTTTCAAAAGGCTGCTTCAGCCCAAGGTACCCCCTTGCCCCTTGGTCTCATTCCTCCGCCACAGCAGTGGGGAAGCCCTGGCTCAAAGTGAAGGTCAGCACCCTATCTGGCAGCAGGCACTGGGTGCACCAGGTGGCACTGAGGCCTGAGCCAGCCCTGTTTGCAGCCTCCCTAACTGGGGCTGAAGCTGGGGTTCTGGGCCACAGGGAGCCAGCAGAAGCCACCTACCCTGCAGCTTGGGATGGCTGATCCAAGTCCTTAGGCAGCTGCAGGAGGTCTGGGTGGCTCTTTTCCACTTCCTGCAACAGGATGTGTCCAGTGAGACTCAGCGTGGTCCCTGGACCTGGGGTTGCCCCAAGCTCTCGGCCTTCACAACTGAGGGTCAGAAAATGCTCAGGCTGGGGCTTCCTGGACCGGGCCATGATCTTGCAGTGTTTTTGGTTTTCTTAGGAACTGCCCCATGCCAGACAAGGCCAGGTGGCCTGGGGAGAGAAAGAGGCTGCAGAAAGGACACTGTGCCCATCCCATGGTCCCCAGCGGGCCCCCTACCTCTAGCACGTGGTGCAGCAGTGTCACACGGTTCTGCTGGGACTTGGTCTCTGTGAGCTTCAGCAGTGTGCTGATCTTGAAGCCATCAGCATCCCCTGTGTGGCTGCCCTGCGAGGGACCAGAAGTGAGTCGTCTGCCTTCCTGGGCTATGCAGAGGCCAGGGCCACCTTGAACTCACATAGTTGAGGAAGTTCCCGATCTTCAGGATCAGCTGGCAGAAGACGGGCAGCCGGTGGCTGTTGAGCAGGCCTGCAGGGTGGGCAGCGGTGGGGGCAGGCCTGAGGCTCAAGGCCCTCACCTGATGTAGGGTTTGGTGCCTTCACCCCCTGCCCCAGCCCCTCCCCAGCTCAGCGCAGCACCGTGAAAGCTGCACCCCAGTGCTCTCACTGCCACCCTGATGTTGGCAGCAGTAGGGACCAGTGTGTCCTCTCATGTGCAGTGGCCGTCCTCCGCCTCCCCGGCTGCACTCACTCTCGCAGGCGTTGAGTACCAGCTGGGCCTTGGGCCGCACCATGTCCAGCACGATGGCCGTGCCCTCGCACAACTGCATACACTCGATCCGGAGCTGGTAGCTGCCAGGAAGTGCAGGTCAGGGCTGGGCTGGCCCCGAGGAAGGGTCTGCTGGGCACACAGCACTGACTCTGTTCCTCAAGCACATTCCCAGGCCTGCTTCGGGCCTGGTTCCTTGCAGCTGGCAGCTGAGGTGCTGGGGGCAGCACCCCTGGGACCCCCAAGGCCCTCGGCCCCTATTCTGTGTAGGGAAGGGCTAGGAACGAGGGGTGTCTACAAGGCCCCTCCCTCAGTCTTGCTGGGCTCTTCCTCAGGCTCACCAGGGAATGTCCAGCAGGAGGACGTAGAACTGGTCGGCATTGGCCAGCTTGGTTCGCTCCTCTGTGAATGTCCGAAGGTTCTCGATCTGCCGGAAGGAGGTCCACGTGTGGGGTAAGGGGTTTACTGCATGCACACGTGCACCTGTGCACACACACACACATACACACACACACACCCCAGCCCCTGCCTCTGCCCTTCCCAGGAAGCCCTCCCGCACTGCCCTCTCTGGGCCTGTTTCCTCACTGCCCCAGGCTGGGTGGCCAGGGACCCTTCCCTTCCCTTTAGGGAAAGGCCTGCCCCATCCTTTGTGGCCTGGGACCCCAGCTGACCTCATGCTTCTCTGGAAGAAGCTTCAGGAGCTGTTTGAGAATTTCCACATCAAACTTGGCCGTGTCCCCAGCCCGGATCATGGCAGTGATCTCCTCGTTGGAGCTGGAGGGGTTGACAGGACAGGAACCCATGAGTGAAGAGCCTCCCTGTCCTCCAGGTGGCCTCACCTGGCAGGGCCTCAGGTGTCCAGGGCTGGTGGAGCCAGAAAGAGTGAGCTGTGTGCCCAGTGTCACTGAGGAAATGAGGCTCCGGCTGAATAACACGCTTCCTATCTGTCTCAGCTCCCAGGGTGGCTCAGGGTAACTGGTCAGCCACTTGGGCCAGTGCCGACTCCTGTAGCATCAGAGGTCATGGGGCCCCACCCTGATCCGGCCAAGGCTTGTCTGTGGCCCGATGACCTCAGCTGTCCTACCCTATTGCTGGACTGGGGCACGGGAAGGGTTGTGGATCTCCGACTAGGGCAGCCCTGCAGATGGAGCTGCACTGGCCCCAAGTAGGTGCCAGCTGGGGACCCTCAGGGCCCGGTAGGGTGCATGGCTTGGCTGGGGCCAGGGACCAGAGTGGTGATCCTCACCATTTAAACTGCTTCAGGAAGATGTTGAGGTTCAGGCTCTTCTTGGCATCCAAAAAAGTGACCTGAAGGAGGCAGCAAGGCTGGCACCTGGAGGGCAATCAGTGGGTGGCCATGTCCTGCCTGGCCCGCCCATCCTGCCCTACCTCCTTGGGCTCTTTTCTGGTCGGGGCAGCCGTGGGCTCTTTGGGCTTGGCAGTGGGGAAGGAGAAAAGCCGCTCGATGCTGGAGAAGTCAGGCTCCACCTGCTCGGTGCCTGGGCTGCTCATCGTGGCCCACATGGAGTTGCGTTCTGCAGGGGGCATTGCTGTCAGGCCTACGGCCTGGGCCAGGTGCAGTATGCAGCTGGTGTCCAACACGCCCCCAGCTGCTGTCCTGTACCCACACGTTGGGCCACACCTGCGTGCATCCCTGTGTCTGACCAAGCAGGCACAGTGCTCATGGGGTCAGTTTGCCCTGGCCAGTGAGGCAGGACCTCACAGTCTGGTAGGAGGACAGCATGCAGCTGCCAGGCTGCCATGACTCAGTGCCTTCCAAGGCAGGTACCTCGGGCCACATTGGAAGGAAGCTTCTGCCAGTTGAGCTTCTTCATGCGCAGCGTTGGGGGGTTCACTCGGCGGTGGCTGGGGACCCAGGTGGAACCCAGCCCATGGTCCACCTGTGCCACAATGATCTCTTCCACGCCGGCTGCCATAGGGAGCCCCGAGGTGCCTGGCAGTGGGGGAGGGGGCCCCCAGCCCACACCAGGAGGTGGGGGAGGGGGAGGGGGTAGGGCACTGCCAAAGCCTGGCAGAGGGGGTGCAGGTGGGGGTACTGAGGAAAATGAGCTTCCTAGGCCGGGCAGGGGAGGGGCTGGGGGAGGAGGAGGGGGTGGGGGAGATGCAGCCCCCAGGCTGGGCAGAGGAGGGGGTGGGGGAGGAGGAGGTGCTGGGGGAGATGCAGCTCCCAGGCTGGGCAGGGGAGGGGGTGGGGGAGGAGGAGGGAGACATGTAGCCCCCAGGCTGGGCAGGGGAGGGGGTGGGGGAGGAGGAGGGGCTGGGGGAGATGTAGACCCCAGGCCTGGAAGGTGGTGTAAGGGAGACCGAGTGGTGGGGTCTGGGAGAGAGGGTGCAGGTGGAGGAGGGCTGGGTGCCCTCTGTGGGGGCACTGTGGGCTGCACAGCTGTTGAGCTGGAGCTCTGGGTGCTGGCCACCTGCTGGCAGACAGAAGCCACTGCTGGTTGCTGGGCATCTATGCCAGTCCCAGAGGCAGTAGTGTTTTGGGCGAGTGTGTCGCTCTGATTCTGGCCAAGATCAGCCTGGACACTCTTGTGAGCCTGGTCCAGGAGGCTTGGACGGGGCCGAACTTTGCCAGCCAGCAGCCGTTCCACCACCTCCTCCAGGGTGCATTCCTGGGCTGCAATATGTCACAGGATGCTCAGGTCAAGGGAGACGCCAGAGAAAGAGATGGGCAGAAGGGCCAGCACAGGATGGCCAGCATGGCATGGGCTCCCTGCCCACCCTAAGGCGCTGTGCGCTTGCCCCACCACTTACCGTCGCTGGCCAGGAGCACAGCCCGGTTCACCAGGCTCTCCAGGGCCTCCCAGAGCAGCTGGCCAGAGTGGCCAGAGGGCTCCAGGTGCAGGAGGCCCTGCAGCACAGACAACAACTGGGCCGATGCTGGGGAGCTGCTCACCTGGGCAGGCATGAGGCCAGGGCCAGGTCAGCGCCTCCACCGTCTTCCCAGGATGCCCACCCTCACACCCCCTCTGCATTCCTGGTGACACTGGGGACCATCCTGTGCATTGTAGGGTCTCTACACTTCTGCCAGGAGCATGCCCTACCCAATGGTGACAAATGAAGGGTCTCCAGATGCTGCTGGCCACGCATACCCCACTGAGGGCTGCTGTGCTCTGGGCTTGAGACCCCGCCCACCTGCAGCGTGACCCAGATCTGTGCCACTGCCAGGGACACAGCGCATCTCTGGCCCCAGGCCCTGCGCAGGCCCACCTTGTGGAAGAGCGAGGCGAAGACCTCCTGGTGGTTGTTCATGTTGATGCCATCACACACATGCAGTAGCTCCTCCTCATCCTCTGCCTTGGCCTCCTCAAAGGCCTCCAGCTGGATTAGCAGGTCGGCGTCCTCCAGGTCTCTAGGTGGAGAGGTCAGACTGCTGACCTGGGGCTCCAAATGCAGCCAGAGAGCAGGGGTACAAGGGCCCAAGCCTCATGTCCTGTAGGTTGGCATCTCCATGTACCCCAGAGGGGATGGGCAGGGTCGATTACCCTCAAGACCAGTCCTCCACAGCTGCAGTGGCAGGGCCCTGGCTGGAGCTGAGGATGTGGGTGTCGTGTATCTCACTTGCTAAGTGAGCGGAGCCCCAAGAACCCCACCTGGGTATGGGCACCTCCCCAATAGCAGCCCCACCAGCTCTTGGCACTGACGTTCCTGGAGTGGTGCTGGCTGAGGCCCTGCCCACCAGGATGCGTTTCACTGGGGTTGCAGGTAACGGAGACAGACTGTTCTGTAAGTGCGCCCCGCACCGTATCTAGGCTGTGCTCACACTAACACTCTGTCATGTGTTTGCCACTATCATTAACTGGGTGTCCTGTGCTGGACCTGGAAGCCTAGTTTCTGTGGCACCACCTGACAGCTGACTCAGGGTGGGCTAGGGGCAGTTCTAGAAGCCACCTTGGTCCCCTGGAGGCACTGTGGGGCCAGGTGGCTGGGACATCAGGGAAGGGGTCTTGGTTTGGAAGACCTTGGGGGCAGCCACAGTGGGACTCACCTCAGCCGGGTCAGAATGTCCAGCAGTTGCAGCCCTGGAGAGGGACAGATGGTCAGGGGGTTTGAAGGCTGTTGCTGGACCCCCTGACCACTGCACCTGGCTTACTTGTATCCGACTCTGCCTCCCCTCCCTGGTCACTGCTTTCAGCCACTCATGGGACATCAGGGGACAGATGGGGACAGCACATTAGACACACATAGCACCTGTTCACCCCTCTAGCCAGCCTTGGGTTGGAATCCACAGGGCTGACATCTAGGAGTGTGAAGGCCAAGTCACTAAGGCAGGAAGTGGCTGGAGGCTCTGGGCCCTGTGACAGTGCCTTCCCTGGGGACAGGGGTTGGGGGACACAGAGGAGGGCCTGGTGGAGGGGCCAGGCAGGTGAGCAGTTACCAATGAATTCGCACCGCAGCTGGGTGCGGGTGCGGAGGTCCTCGGGGCCCAGGATGATGGCGTTGATGACGCTAAGCAGGGTGACAACATAGGGCACGTTGTCGCTGTCTGACAGCTCGTTCATGATGACACTGAAGCGGTACTGCTGGCTGCACACCATCTGTGGGGTGGGTGGGTGAGCATGCGCCCAGGCAGGGACCATACACCCAGCCTGGTCCTGTGTGTACCTTGTAGTGGTCCAGAGCATCCAATGTTAGCGCGTGGCCCTCAGGTGAGTAGATGCACAGGGCGGCCAGAAGCTCAAACACCTGCTTCTTAACCATCACGTTGGACGTGTCCAGGGCTGCAGGGGAGGGTGTCAGCAGGCCCACTGTTCACCTTCCAGGCCAGCCTGGCCCACAGGAGCTATTGCCTCCTAACTGTAACTCCGGGCCTGGCCGGCGGACACCAGGGGGCGCCCTAGGCTGGCCGTAGCGCTCAGCAAGTGGCCTGCCCTGCTGACTCCTGATGTCTGAGGCCTGCCTCCCACGCCACAGAGCGCCCCTATAGGGAGAGCTTGGAGGCAGGGGCAGGTGATGCCCAGTTCTCTGGAGCTGGCCCAGCCCCTGCTGCTGGCACTGGATGCAGTTTTCACCGAACAGCTATACGAGGACAGATAGCCTGGGGCGCGTCCTTGTTCCAGGAACCTGGAGTCCTACCCCATGCTGGGCTGGGAAAGTTTTGAGGGCTGTCTTGTCTGGGTCCCAGACAAAAGCACAGCCAAGCCCTGGCAGGGGACACAGGCTGATTAGTGGCCTGAGGTTGGACAGTGAAGGTGGCCTTTGCCCTATCACTGTCTGTGCAGCCTGACCAGCCCTGGAGCCCCTGTGAGACTTAGTGCCACCCTGGAGCACCATGGTAGGTGGGTAAAGGACACACGAGACCATCATCCAGCAGGCTGCTGCCTGGGGTTGGGCTAACTCAGACCACAGTCCAAGAGACTTCCTGGAGAAGGAGTTGTAAACAGGCAGACAGGCTGTCTCTATGCTTGGCCAGGCTAAGTGAAAGGGCTCGAAGCCAGAAAGAGCACTCAGGGGGCACTGAGGGTGCACACCACGTGGACCAGGATCTGGAGGTCGAGGACAGGGCCACCGCGGGGCTGGCGGAGTCACGGGATAGAGGATGTCCCCTGCCATCCCCCAGGGCACCTGCCCACTGGGCCCCGTCCTGGTGCTCACTCACCCAGGGAGAGCTGGCGCACATAGCCCTGGTTGCTGAGGATGTACCCGATGCCCGGCTGTGAGTTCAGGACTGCGCGTACGCAGCTGACGCAGGTGAGCTGAAGCAGGGCATCGGCGATGCGGGACACCCCGCGGCCAGACAGCCTTGCCAGCGCCTCAAGCAGCAGGTCCAGGCCGCTCTGCTCCAGGAACTGTACCATCCAGCCACCGTCGCTGCTCTCTAGCCGCTTGCGCAGCCCTGAGTAGTTGACCACGGAGGGCATCTGCAGCAACCGGATGCACAGCTCGGGCTCAGCGCTCTCCAGGTTGGCCTCTGTGGGGTCCGAGTCCTGCGGCCCCAGCTTCTCCTTCAGCGCCGCCCACTTGCGCTGCGCACCCTCCTTCACCGACATCTTGCCAAACTGCAGAGAGGACAGGGAGGCAGTCGTGATCACAGTCAGGGCACGGAAGTGACCCCAGGCTGAGAGGCGGGCCCAGCATGGCCACCGGGGTCAGTCGGAGGCACCATCTGCTGTTTTAGTTTCACCACTGGGCTTCCCGCTGAGATGGGGAAGGGCAGAGGGCACCCCCTCAGTGAACAGGAGGCCCCAGGACAGATCGGGGGCATAGCACGGACCTGTGTCTCCCTAACGGTCCCCACCTGGCTTGGATACTGTGAGTAGCTGTTCTGGCTGGGACACCACTGACATGGCTGCGAAGTTGCAGTGCCTGCCCTGACCTGCCCCAGGGTGCGTCCAAGCTGCCCTCAACCTCAGGAGCCAGAAGAGAGGAGGCCCGAGGGCCATCACGGGGCTGTCTCGGGTTGGAGTGCAGAGATGCCTGGTGCTCACCCAGGCGGGTGGCAGGCTACCTCCCCAGACCGTATGTGTGGGGGTGAGGTGCACAGAGGAGCTGGCGTGGGCCCCAGGGTCAGGGTTCGGGTCTGACTCCAGCCCTGAGATATGGCTCCCCCTGAGCAGAACCACAGCACTCTGCCGGCACCCGACCCCCCTTCCTGGGCCCGCCTGGCTGAAATTCTGTCCCTGCTGCAGCCCCTGGGGACAGTCTCAAAGGTCAGGGACATCCCAGGCCCTCCCGCAACCATGTACGGCTTCAATCTTATATTTAGTGCCTGAGAACAGCAATGTGGAGCCATGGGAGGGTGGCCCTGGTGGGCAGTGATGGGTGGACTTGGCTCCACTTGAGGGCCCTGTCCTCTCACTCTCCCCAAGTGGACGCATGGACCACGGAGGAAACACCCGAGGAGGGCAGATATCATCCCCATTGCCCAGGGTGGGGGACAGCAGAGTTGTGGCCAGACCTCAGGGGATACCGGAAGTCTAAGTGCTCATGTTTAGTGTAGCATTGCTACAAGTCCCAACCCAGTATGCCAGGACCTCAAAGGAGCCACCCGAGACCACTCAGGTGGCTGAGCATGGCGGACAGACACACACCTCCCAGCTGACCCCAGGCCTCAGGCCCACTGTTGCTTGGGTGAGGGTTTCACAGCCTTCCTGCCTGCCCAGAGCACAGAACGAGGAGGTCCTGTCTGGACCCTCCCTCACTGTCTGCCTATGCAGCTGCCCTGCAGGGCCAGGAGGTAGACAGCAAGGCTGTCCTGCTGTCCAGTGTGCACACTCAGCTCGGGTGCCACCATAGCCTGGTCACTCGGCCTAAGCCTCGGTCTCCAAAGCTGCAGCTCTGGCCTCAAGCTTGCAGGTGCTGGAAGTGCTTGGTGGGTTCCGCCCCTTCTCTGGCCCCCAGCCAGGCCTCCAAAGGTAGGGAACCTGAAGTTCTCCCTGGCCCCAACATTTAACCCCCAGGCAAGGCCCTCGGCCACCTTCTGTGTCCACTCACCCAGATGCGCAAGACCTTGCGGCCGCCTCTGCCCACCCACTCCGGGCCCTGCCTTGGGCTTCTCATCGCTGCAGACTCCCTGCTGCCTCAGGTCGCCAAGGCCCCGGGGGAAGGGGGCAGTGGCTGCTGCACTGTGAGGAGAAGCAAGGCTGAGCGGCATCTGGATGCCCGATGCCCACCTCATATGGTTGCCTCAGGAGGTGCCCGAAGCGGGCCCTCCCTTCCCCACCCACCCTGTGCCCTGCTGGCTGGAGTCCCTGCCCACTTGGCACAGGCTAAGCACGCCTCCCAGCCAGGCCTTTGCTTCCACAGATCTACTCCAGCTGGGAGCCTGGGCTCTCCAAGCAGAAGGACCTGACCTGAACACAAGGGGGCCACCCAGAGCTGTCGTGCCCAGGCCTGGGCTCCCCAGTTATGAAGGTCAGGGTGCTTGCTGACCTCAGGACTGCGTTTGGCACCACCCAGATTTCCTTCCTGTGCATCCCTTGTGGCCAGAAATACAGCTCCCTAAAAGGCCAACTGACGGGCGCCCCTTGGTCTAGGGTGGAACCTCAGCAGGAGATAGCTGTGTCCGGCTAGGACAGTAAGCTCAGCTGGACACCCAGAGGCCAGCAGACCGCACAGCCTTGTTTAGGCCCATGGGGTCAGGTCCTGACCAGGGATGTGACCCTAGGAGTGTCCTGCCTCTTTGCAGGGTGACACTGAAACCCCAGGCAGTGGCCAGCCCTGCAGACACACACGCTGACCCACAACCGCAGCCACCATGTGCAAGACTGTGTGCAACGGTGGAGACCTTGTCAACGATCAGCACCTCTGTAATTCTTGTCCCAGGCGTCAATTTAGGGCCCAAGAGAAGATGGCAGAGCCCCCTGCAACAGGAGGCCCCACTTCCCGCCAGCCTTCCTTTCTCTGCAGCGACTAAAGCTGTCCCTCCCTGCGCGCACCCTCGGGTTTCTGCCAAGCGCAGAGGTAGTGGCCACCCCTTGAATACACAGCCCTGCCAGCCCCAGGGCACACGCGGGTGGTGACCCACTTTACTGATCTTGGGCGGCTTGCGACTGAGAAGGGTAATAATGCCCCAGGTGGTACCAGTGCCAGCCGAGGGGGAAGCCTGCTCCTGGGATCACCAGCTGTGGACCCTGGGCAAGACACCCTGGCCCTCTGTTCTCCATCTGCAAAGTGGGGAGCAGAGCAGGCAGGCACACGTTGAGTGTCGGAATGTGCGGCCTGTTTTGTACTGTCTTGTGCCCTTCCGCCTCTGACCATGCCCAGCCCCAGGGCTCAGTGTCTGGTTTCCAACCTGGCCTGGCTGAGCACAAGACAGGGTGGGGCTGGGGACTCAGCTCCCTGCGGTTTGGGGGTGTAGCCTTGAGGCACAGCCTGGAGCACCAAGGTGCCTTAGCAGGCTTCATCCCAGGCTCAGATCAGTCAGTCAGGGCTGAAGAGCAACCAGGACATGCCCGCCAGCCACACTCAGTGCTGCCCTGGTGCCAGTGAAGGGAACCCAGGGTTTTGGCTGTGCAGTTTCTGACCTTGCGCTCTGGGGCTCAGCCCTCACTGCCCAGCTTCTGCTTTATCTGCCATCTGCAGAAGCCAGGCTTTTTGCTCGGATCTGGTTCCTACAAGCAGGGTTTCCCACTGGGCCTGCCAGGGGCCAGCTCAGACCCATGCGCTCACTCAGCCCCTGCAGAGGTAGGGACTTGGGTCCAGTCAACCACTGGCCACCTCCTGAAAGGGTGGCTCTTGGTGTGCTGTTGCCTGCCTCTCTGCCTGCACCTGGCTGGCCTGGCACAGCGAGGCCCACACTTCCATGCCACACGCCTGGGCAGCGACGCTGACTCAGCCCAGCCACACCTTGAGGCCGCCACCTTGGCTGGGAGTTGCCTGCCCCGCCCCACGTGTTGGAGAAGCAGGCCCAGGGTGCCCCAGACTTCACAGGTGATCTGCCCGACCCCACTGCATACAGGGACCCCTGGGCAGGTGTGGCCCACTGCAGAGGAAGGGAACACAACTGGGGCAGCATTATCACCTCCCAAGGGGCACAGGCGGGTTTCCCTGCCCTCAGCCATTCAATTTGGTGTGGAGATGGTGACTCCTGCCAGTTTCCCTGGGAGGGGTGCCCACCTTCAACCTGGGCCCTGGGTCCCTCCTGGCCAGGACCCCGAGACAGAGGCAGGCACAAGGCACCTGAGGTGGGAGGCAGCTTAGAGGGCCCTGGCAGCACCCGGACAGGAGCTGGGATGCTTCTGGGCACAGAGCCCATGGGGCAGGGGCGGGGCAGAGGAGGCAGGGAGAGTTCGTCTTCCATGGGTGGGCGGGAAGAATGGCAAAAGCGGGATTCCGGAACTGGGAGGCAGGGGCTGCAATGCTATTTTTAGCTCTTGCAAAAACCTAAATTTTTCCACTGCCTGGCAGCCCTCAGCTCTCCAGAGCTGCACGCGGCCCTGGCTGCTCCTGGGGTTGGGAGAGGCCCTTGCTGGCCCTCCTCCCACAGGCTGCAAGTCCCCTGAGGGGATCACAGCTGCCCTGAAGGGTCCCCCATGGCAGGCTTGTCCAGCACAGGTCCTATGCAGAGCAGGCCACAGCCCCAGGTCAGGATGGACACCTGAGCCTGCTGCCGTGCAAGGAGGACGTCCTGCACCAGTGCGGCTGCTGCCCAGCACGGAAGGCCCAGAGGATGAGTGGGCATGACAGCGCTCGCACAGCGTCAGGTTAAAAAGCAGAAATCAGGGAGCAGATGCATCGAGTGGAACTGCAACCACAGGTGGGGTGACATATCTGTCACCAGGATTCCTGCCCAATGCCAACAGATGCAGGAACAGGAAATGCCTGCAGGAGCAATGGGCACTGCCCTTGCCCTGCACATCTGTGCCTGGCACCACATACTGGGGTTTGGCGGGCAGGCCTGGTGGTCACAGAATCTCCCTTCCCCGGCCACCACACTCCCTGACCCAGGAGGACAGAAAGGGTGAACACCAGGAAGCTGGGTTTCACTTCCACCTGCTGTAAGACAATGTAGGGCCAGGCTGCCCTGGACTTGCTGTCACTGTGAGGCCCGGGCCCCGTTTCCCCAGCTGCACGAGGCTCAAGCTCCCCAGGGCTGATGATTGCTCTCAGAGGCCCTGCCCCTAACAGTCTCAGGAGTCTGGTCTGGCATCCACATTGGGTGAGGCTCCAGTGGGGACAAGGATGCTTTCTGAGTATGGTGCTTCTGGGATGGCCCCACTGGCAGATATGGAGGGCAGGGAGGGCTGAGTACTGGCAGGGCAGTGGCATCTTCCCTGGTGCTCAGAGCCAGCTTCCTTTCCCCTGCAGGAGCTTCAAGGGGTCGTGGGGCATGCCCAAGAGACCTCAGGCCAATGGCAGGTGCCCTGACTGGACACTTTGGAGAACTTTCAGAAGGTCCTGTCCCTCCTGTCCTCCGCTGTCCTGCAGAAAGGCCTCTCTCAGCCTGGCAAGATGGCGCCAGGCTAGGACTCAGGTCCTGCTTGCTGTATGCCAGTGCCTCAGGGGCCCAGCCTGTGCCAAGGGAGGAGGGCTGCCCTCTGCCCACCCCCATGCTAGCCCCGGGGTCCCCGCCCCCACCCACGTCCCAGCTTCAGGCTGCCTTCCAGGGACAGAAAGAACAAAGACTGATTGAGAGCACGACAGGCGGGATCCTGAGCACCTCGGCACCCCGAGGCAGCTGCCGAGGCCTGGGGCAGTGGACGGCACTGATTCTGGGCAGGAGGAAGCTTTGTTGCTGACCTGCAGGCCATGGACCTGCGTCTCCTGACCCCGCTGTCACATGGGAAAGAATGTGTCAACATCAACTGGCAACAGAGGGAGGTGCCAGGGCAGGAAACTGCATGAAAGGGCTGGGCCCTGACTGCCCTGTCTCCCCAGCAGGCCACCTGACTGACAGCTCGGACAGAGCTTGGCCAGCGCAGGAGTCTCCCCAGGCCCTGCTCAGACACCTGGCCGAGGCAGCCAGCGCCGGCAGCCTGTCAGGCCCGACCAGGCGGATGAGATCCTCACTGTGGGCACGATGTGCCTCTTGGCATCCCTGACTGGGACCTGAGGGTGCGGGGGCCCTGTGAAAGCCAATCTATTCTGGACTCACTCTGTTCACCTACGAGTGGCACGGAAGCTGGGTGCAGACGCACAGGCATGTGATCCCAGCACAGAAGGAGGCTGAGGCAGGAGGATCAAAAGTCTGAGTCCCACCTTAGTAGTTCAGTGTGCCTCTCTTGACATAAAACATTCACAAGGACCGGGGCTGTGGGAGAGTGGCCCTGGTTTCTGTCCCTGGGGGAAAGGCCAGATGCACCACTGCTGACCAGGCCTGCATGGCCCCCACCCAGGCTGCTCATTCTGGTGTCCTCATCATTGCTTTGCCATCTGCTGAGGGCAGCCCAGAGCCCACCCGCAGGGCTACCCAAGGACCTTGCTCTCAGACCCCTTGTGGACGTAGGAGGCCTTTCTTGGTCAAGCGATAGTGCCTCTCCCTGCAGGCAGTAGAGAGCAGATGCCCACCTCCGCTACTGGGCCCAGATGGCAGAGCCAAGCTGTACTTGGAGCAGGAAAAGGGACGTGGGGATGTGGGGACACGAGGGGTGGGTGTGTGCAGCACACGAAAGTCACATCTGGGACCTGAGAGGACCAGAGCCAGGCACAGACAGGGTCACAAGGCTGCGGGAACGCCAGCCCTCCACATGCAGCTGGCCAGCACCCAGGCTGGTTGCCAGGCTGCCCCACCGTGGGCAGGGCCAACAGCAGGCCGAGCAGAGAACCCTACCAGGGTGAGCACAGCAAGGCCGATCCTGGTCTCTGCTCATGGCCTCTGGGGGGCCTATGAGGGATGTGGGTGCCTGCCAACTCCTCTCTGGCCCACTGTGCCCTGGCTGTCTTAACGCTAGCCCTCAGTGTTAGGTCTCAGTGGCAGAACGGGACCAGAGCCTGCCTCCACCTACCAAGTGTGCTTCCTCTGGGTCCTCAGCCATCACCAGCCTCTCCTTTGGCCAGGTCAGCCTGGCCTCCTGGCAGTGTAGGCCATGTGGCTGGCTGAGCACTCTTGGTCTCCGTGGTGAGCCTGGCCCAGGTCACAGCCCTGGGGAGGAAGGCCTCGGACCCGGGTATGCCCCGCCACGGCCAGCGCACAGCAGGGCAGAGGCCAGGGCCTGCAGGGGTGGTGTGGAGTGCTGCAGCAGTGCAGGGCAGAAGCAGTCTCCCCACATCCACCCCGCCATGCCGGCTGAGGGGGGCACTGCTGGGGGCGCAGAGGCTGGCCGGGCCCTCGCTGCTTCCTGCCACTGGGAAAAGCCGAGCTGGATGGGGAAGTGGATAGAACAGGAAAGTGGCCTTGCTCGTCCTGTCCTCAGATAGCATGGATGGGCCTTGGTTTTGTCACCACCAGATGGGGACTCACCCCACCCGCCTGGGAGATGGACTGCGGCCTCAGGAACGCATGGGCTTCTGCCTGGGCTGCTCTGGGTTACGGGGGCCAAGGGCCAAGGGGCATCCATGGAGGGGACCCGGCAGAGCCACTTGACCAGGAGAGGCCCTCTGTCTCCCAGTCCCGAGCAGGTCACTCCCCAGGGGGAGGTGGACACAAGGACTTTGAGAGCACCCCAGAATAGGGACAGAGTCTGTAGCCAACTGCCTGTGCCTCAGTTCCTCCATCTGACAATTCCTAATTTAATCACAGCTTAACAGAGGCTACAAGAGCAGTCAAGCAACAGATCCCCAGGAGAGCAGGCCCAGCCGCCCTTGCCGGCCTGTCTCTACACTGTTGCTGTCACCTCAGAGGTTGCAGGTGCTGTGCACTGGGCAGGTGTCCAGCTGGGCCAGCTAAGGGGTCAGGTTGCCAGGAACCCTCCTTCCTAGGGCAAGCCTGGCGGGGTGGAGACCCCCATAACAGGAAGCTGCATGCACGCCCTGTCTTGTCCCCTTCTCCTGTCCCGAGTGTCAGGTGTCTCTCAGCCTTCCAGCTCTCCTGCCCTGTTCCCCAAGATGTGCTCCAGAAGGAGTGGGATGCCCTCTCCAATGCAGGGTCCAGTGCACTGCGGCCACCTGACAAATACCACCTGTGTGCACTAAGTAGGCGCGGGGTCAGACAGCAGAGCCAGCACCACCCCTCTACGCTGGGGACCTTGACACTGGCACCCTGGGAGACGGGGCTGGCCCTGGGTGTCCTGTCTGCAGCATGCATTGTTACCCAGCCATCACCTGTCCCTACTGCAGCCCCCACGCACCTCAAACGTTCCACCTGGGAATGAACAACAGCACTTTGACGGAAGGCAGGAGTCTATTTAAGGCACAGGCCCAGCCCGTCCCCGCAAGGGAGGTGAGCGGGATTCGCTGACAGCAGGCAGAACAGGACCCGGGGCATGGCTCGGAAGATTAAAGTTCTGGGTAGTGCCTGGTCCGGGAGCACAGCCCTGCATCACAGCTCACCAGGCTACCTCAGGCCCCCTTGAGCCCCTGGATCTGCCCAGGAAGCACATGACGACCAGAGAGCTTGGAGCTCCTGAGGACAGAGTACCTGTGTGGAGGGCCAGTGGTCAGCTCAGACCTGGTGCCAGGAGGGACTAGCCGCACAACCTGACTTTCTAACAGAAAGTTCCTGCTGACCTGGAGAGTGGGGACAAACCTGGAACCAAAGAGCATTGCTTCCAGGCCACCTGCTCCTCGCCCAGGGTGGATCTGGATGGTTGTTCTGGGTCCCCACCTTTCCCCTGCCCCTCCCTGTCGGAGTGGACTGGAAACTGAGGCCCAGAGTGCAGGGCTGGACTTGGGGGCCAGATTTTCCCAGGTCGGAGTGAGGCGGACCTTTGGCCCCGGGCGGGTTTAGGCAGTCTCTGCAGGCCTCCTGCGCGTCCAGAGGGGCTGGGCTGGCCTGCGGCCTGCACCCGATCTGTAGCCCAGAGCCACACAGACCCACAGGATCGCGCCCCCGCCAATGCTGCGGGTGGGGGCATGGCCGGTCGGTGGGTCCTGGGGTTCCTCGCTGGGCAGGGGTTAGAGGCATAGTGCCGCCTCCTTTCCCGCCGAGCAGGTCTTACTCCCCACGCCTGGCCTGGAGCGGGGTGCCCGGCCCCTGCACCCACCTGCGCGTGGGCGCGCGCAGCCAGCAGTGGCGGTCGCGGGCTGGCGCCTTGGGTTCATGGGCGGGCGGCGGCCCAAGTAGAAGTTTATTTTCTGAACTGCGGCTGATTCATGTCAGGATGTGGTGGCTGCCGGCGGTGGCCCGCGGACCCCGGCCCCGCCCAGCGCCCGAATCCCGCCCGGAGCAGGATCCCCAGCGGAGGGGACCGCTCGTTGCCACCAAGGATTCCGTCCCTAGCCCCAGGCGCCCCCTCGCCGCCTGCGGACTCAGTTTCCCCTCCCCGACTCCAGGAGACCGCGGACTCACCGGTGGGCAGCCCCGCCGGCGCTGGTCCGGGGCGCTCGCTTAGTGCGGTCCAGGCCCGCGCACTGGGGCAGGGCGGGGAGGAAGGGGAGGTGCCCGCGCCGCCCGCCCCAGGCCACGTGGGGGGGCGGCACCCGAGGGGGCGGGGCTGGATCCCTGGAATCACCGCCCCTGGCGTCCCAGAGCGCGGATTTAGGGGTGCTGTTGGGCCGTGGTCGCAGCACCCTCTAGCGTATCTGAGCCCGACCCTCACCAAGGCAGTGAGTGGGAGTTGCTTCTTCCTCTCCCTCTGTCCTCCACCGGAAGCCCTGCTCAAGCCCACAGTGTGTCCCCGCCGTGAGGTCACTCGTGGGATACTGGGATACAGCGCCCCCGGGCGCCAGGGGCGCAGAGCCCGCGTCCACCAGGCCGACCCTGAGGAGGCCCTGCTCCAGCGCCCACTCCCTCTCACGCTGGGGTGTACCTGGCCGAGCCTCAATTTCCCCAGTTGTATGAGGTGGATGTGAACACAGGGAGAAGGGTCTGCACTCACCTTGAAACCCTGAGAGCCCTGTGCTGCGGCCCAGGCACAGGCAGGGCTCCAAACAGGGGTCCCCAGCCATGAAAGCAGGGGCTTCCGGCCCACCTTTGGGTGTTCAGTCCACAGCCAAGCTCTTGCCCACCCTCCCCCACCTTGGCCTGGCCTGCCGGTCTGTGCAAGAGGGCCCTGAGGGCTGGGTGTGCCCTGGGAGCCTTCCAGGGCTGGGCTGACTGGCTGCTGGATGCTCTCCAGGGTGAGGTGGAGGCTGTTCTTGGAGAGTACCAGACCTGGCCGGTGTGCCTCTGCCTGGGGCTGCCTCCTGGCCCACTCCACGACCCTCAACATGGAACTTTCTGTGAGCTGGATCTGGGCTTCCCGCTGTCTTGGGGGGCCCAGCGGTGGTCTGGCGCTGGCACCACCAGGGAAGGTTGTGGTCAGACTGACTCATCTGTGTGCTGTGCTGGCACCTGGCTGCGCAGCCTGGCCAGTGGGTGCTGACCCAGAAGGAGGACTGTGCTCTTCAGCCCAGGCCCAGTTGGGGCCAGGGCCAGGGTAGGGTGGCTGCAGGTGCCTGTGCCCACCCCTGTTCTCACCCAGCCTCGCTTGGCCCACACACAGGCAGGGGCGGGGAAGGGACCCTGGCTATCTTTCCAGGAACTTCACACTCAGGTGCAAGGACTCCAAAGGTGGGCGGGAGAACCTGGAACCTTGGCCTGCTCCTGCCGGTTACTGTGGCAGGGACCTGCACCCCAGGCCAACCTGTCCCCAAAGGTGGAGCAGATAAAGAGAGCAGGGTGGTGTGGTCAGCACGGGACACTAGAGAAATCCCAGTGGAGGGCTGAGCAGGTGACTCAGGTGGCTATATCTATGTGTTTCATGAGTAGAGTGGGTGCCTGGCGCCAGAGGTCAGAAGTCTGGCAGCCTGTGGCTTGGGATGCTGGACCTGGAGAGCTTTCCCACCTGCTTGGTACCCAGCACAGTTGAACCTATGTCCTTGGCTCCTCCTCCCATGATCACTATTTTTCCAAATCCTGCAAGGGTCTGTCCAATGGGCTTTGCACACCAGGTGGCCTGGGATACATCGTGCTGCTGGGCAGGCTCGGCCGTGTCCAGCCAGGTCCCATGTGCTCAGGCCACATGCTCAGGCCACAGCAGGGGTGGTCTTGCAGCTGCAGGGCTGCGGAGAGCTCAGCACCACCTCTGGCTGGGAAGTAGAAGCTGAGCCTGGGGTGAGGGGGAGCAGGCTTGGGGCGCTGCCAGCTCGAGCTCTGCTAGGAACACGCAGGCAGGCGTGGGTGCTGCCAGCAGAGAATCTCCCAGCCTCCTGGCGGATGTGTGCAGAGCCAGGACGACCCTGAGGCCAGCAGGCAGCTGTCTGCAGGCAGAGGAGCCTCCAGGGTCACCCGGGACTCCACACTGCAACCTGTCTTGGGTTTCATCTCCTTTGTCAGCCCAGCTCCCAGAATGCTTTCTGACATTTTTCTTTTGAAACCTTTTTCATTTTTCATCCTACCAGGGTGCCCCAAGATGACCTTGGTGCTGTCGCAGAGTGAAGTCAGTGAAAACATGTCCACCCACCCCATCAGCTACCCAGTGTTCCAGCCATCCACTCATCCACCCATCCACCCACCCTCTTACCTAGCCACTCTGCCACCTCTCCACCTGTTTGCTTGTCTACCCACACTGCCACCTACCCACCCTTCCACTAGTCTATCCATCCACCTGCCCGCCCGCCCACTGTCCAGTCCTGGCATCTGGAGCAGGTTTTCTGAGAAGGACAGGACTTGCCTTGCCACACTGGACAGGTGGGCTTGGTGAGGAGGCAGCACAAGCTCTTGGTCTCTGCCTTTGCTCTGCAGCTGGGCCGCCTCTCAGGCTAATGGGGACCACAGGTGTGCTGCCCACCTGGCTGGAGATTTGGCTTTAAAGTGGCTTTAGGCACAGTCCTCTCTCCCTTCTCCTCTCTCCCCATTTGCACCCAGAAGCTGCTGTGTGCTACTGTTTGAGCCCGGCTGCTGTAGGTGGACATCATATTTGGTGGGGAGGGGGAGGAGCAGGAGCTTGGCCAGCAGCTTTTCTTAGAACAGATAGAGGTGGGTTGAACAGTTGAGACCAGGGCCTGGCAGGAGCCTCTATCCTCTGATCTATATTGCAGACACATGGAGTAGAGTCTGCAGATTCTGTATTTGTAAATTCACCTGCTCAGTGCAGTTTCTCTATGGCCCTGGTCAATACTTGAGGCACTTTCACGGTCGTTCCAGGACAGGCACAGAGCTACGAACAGCTTAAGTCCTCCACATGCAGATGCCCGTGGAGTTGGACGTGGGCTGGCCTCCTTCGGGTGGCAGTTCCTGTCCTGTGGACCAAGGTCCTTGCCCACGAACTAAGTGTCCCAGGGCTTCTGTTGCTTGTTTGTTTTGGGATTGACTGAGCTCAGGGCTTTCCCTAAGCCCTGTCCCTGCCCTTTCTGAGTTCTGTTTTAGACAGGGTGTTGCTAAGTTGTTTGGGCTGATCTGGACCCTGCAGTGCTACTGCCTCGGCTTCCCGGAGAGCCAGGCTGACAGGAGTGCCCAATGCCAGTCCTGAGATTTGCTTTTAAAGTGGCCCTCGGCATGGTGCCGAGGTGCTGCCTAGCTTTCTGATCGAAACAGGACCATGCCTGAGCTGTGACTCATGGAGAAAATAGGCCCCGTCAGCCTGTGACCCAACGCTGCCGCCTGAGGGCTCACAGCCATAGGCAATGATGCGTATTAAACAAGGTGCCCGGAACAGAAACTCACATCCACCCAGCAATCAGGTATTGATCAGTTCCTGAGAACGGACCTTACCACGGCTCCCCGGAACCTGGCCCACACCTCCTCCAGGAGCGATGGCTCAGCGCCTTTCTGGTCCGTGGCCACCGTGAATAAGGCAAAGGCTGGGACTGCAGCATGCGCTCCATGCCCTGCTGGGTTGGTGCCTTCTGACATCCTTTGTCCCACCACCCAGACCCAGTGGACACTTTCGGGCCCAGGAAGTGCCGTGATGCCCCACCCCTGGGCTCCCCTGGGTTCCCCCAGAGGTGACTTCCGGTCACCCCTGCATCATTGGTCCCTTTGGCTGGTTCTGAGGTTCAGTGTCCTATTTGTGCCTGGCTGCTTCTCCTCCACACAGAGTTGGGGGCTCACTGTGCTCCTTCTTTTTGTGATTGTGAAATATGAATCTGTCACAGCCTGGGGGACCTTTGAATTGCGGGTGGCTCCTGGTGGGCGCTGCCCTCTGCTCTCTGTGGGTGCGTGGAGCAAGTCACAGACACAGGCGTTCCCCTTTGACTGGCTCTTCCTCAGCACTGACTGTCACCTGCAGCTGGCTCTGGGCCTGGCCCAGCCATGCGTGAACCCACTGGCCCCTTGGCTGCCTTCCCCACCGCAGCCCATGGCCTCTGTGTCCGCAGGTTGCACGGCCCCGCTCTGAGGAGGTGCAGAGAGGAGACCAGAGCTCTGTCTGGGGCCCCAGCTGGAGATGGGTGGTGCCTGGCAGGTAGTGATCACCCTAGGGTGCACTGGGACCATGACCCAGGTGCAGCCTGGGCTCTCAGTTGACCTCCAGTGAGCCTGGCCTGCCGTTGCTGCTCCCCAGCCGAGCTGTCTCTTGGTTCTGCACCCTAAGCTTAGTGTGGTGGGGTAGAGCTGCTTGCTTTGAAACTGTGGATCGTATCCTCATTTGCTCGTAGAGGCTCTGCAGTAAGGAAACAGGAACCTGCTGGGGCTATGCCCAGATGTGGGAGTGGGGAGGGACGAGGTGTGGGAGCGTGCAGGGTGGGCCCCCGGGCCTCCTTCAAGGCTGTGGGTGCGGGCAGGGACCTGACCCTCCCAGGCCCAGCATCCCTACAAAGGAGAGCAGCGGAAGCTGCAGACTTGGCTGGGCGGGGGCTGGGAGGCCTGGGAGGGAGAGGGGCACATTGAGGCTTGGCCTGGAGCCCAAGCCCGGCCTGTGCTCTCTCAGAAAAGTGGTGGGGCCTGGACTTCCTCACTGGTGGCTTTGGCCCCTGGATGGAGTTTTGTAGGTATGACCAAGGCTGGACTGCAAGCCCGAGAGGAGGTGGCCATGATGACTGAGGCAGCTGGACACTGCTGTCGGGTGACCATGAAGTGGCCCTGCGGGGCTCAGCCTTCAGCGCCCCCAGCTTGGCTTTCTGACCCTAGAGCTCCACAATCTCCCATGCCATGGTGGCCCTGGGGCCTTGGGCCACTGAGGAGGGCCCCCTTGCCCTGCACTCTGAGCAAAGCCAGGGGGCTTGGGTGGGCAGTGGCACAGGGAATGTGTCCCCAGGCTGGGGACACAGGAGGAGGTGTCACTTCTGGATCCCCATGTGAGATCATCAATGGCTCACCTAGGGGTCAGGAAGTACCCCAGGTCCTGCTGCCTCCTAGGGGTGCTCCGGCCCTCTCCTGTGCCACCCAAGGTCGCTGTGTCCTTGAAGACTTGCCACTCCTTGGGTTTCCAACATTAATGCTCAGTCTATTGAAGCAGCACCTGCAGGGCCACAATAGATCCTAAGCGCTTGGTTCATTTTCTCATTAACCTAACAGTCGCTATGAAGGCGGACCCTCTCCCACCTCAAATGCCTTTGTGAATGAAGTAGCTGAGATTTGCCC